CGTAGAAAATTAATTCTAAAATCAGAAAGGCTGTATAAAATATATATGTTTTTGGGGTTTCATGCGCAAGTTTTACATTTTTGCGTCCCGATAGTAACCTAAAGATTGATTGTAATAGAGTCAAACAATCAAAATTTTAATGAATAACGTGCTTCTACAGCTGTGGTTTATGAATCCGTCTTGATTTTTTACCCTAAACATCTAGATTTTGAAACTACAAAACCAAATATTATGAAATCGTTGACCAAAATTTTACCGGATACATCTAACCTGAAATGTGCAAAAAAATTCGCAAAATTAAATTTGCTAATTTTTTAAAGAACCTGTATTTGTTCGACTGTACTTCAAGAGCAAGGGAAGTTCTGCCTAAATATCCTTGGACAAATGTTTTGGGTTGTAAAACATTTAATCGAAAATTAGGACAGCCTACAAACATGGTGTTAAAAAATGTTCATTAAAAAAATGGTCTAAAGTTATGCAGACAGAACTTCCCTCATCCTAGAAGTTAAAATAAAGCTACGTGTGGACTGTTCAACTACAGGTGAAGAAGCATATTACGCGTATGTTTTAAGTGAGTTTTCCATGCAAAATTTTATTATGACATCATCACCATTTTAACGAGGACGCTTATGTCAATTTCAATAACGTGTGTAATACTAATAATAACAGTATGGAGGATGAACCATTCTTGATTTGACTAACAAAAAAAAAAAAAAAAAATGCGACCCGGCATTGATCCACGGACCTGTTATCTACGTCGTTAGACAAACATATACAACAATAATAAACAAAATCAAGGTAGATTCATAAACCAAGTAGTTATTTTATAAAATTTAAATGGCTTTTACTAAAAATTATTTTGCGGGGACGACGTCACATGGTTGGTGAGGATGATAAGACAAGTTTTGGTTCGCGTATACCTAAATATAAAATTGGAAAACAATCGGAAACAGAGACCTATTTTTTCGCACTTTAGAGGTCATGAAAATATCATAATCAAATTTAAATCATCATCAGAATTGAGATAGGGCGGATGGACGGAGTTTGTATTTTGTTTTTTTTTTTTTTCTGAATATACATATCCATCTTTTCACAACAAGAAACTTAGAACATGGTTAAAATCGTATATTTTTGCAAGGAAATATGGATTTTGCAATTATGGGGCGGAACCTAATTGCAATATCGATATTTCTTTATACAAATTTTCCATTTTAAACATGTTTTAAGTTTCATGTTGTGAAAAGAAATCTACACATATTAAAACAAAAAGTCAAAATATTAACCCGCCCACCCGCCCGTCTCAATTGTGATGATTTTTTTTTTATTCTTAGAAACTCAAAACATTTAAAATGGTAAATTTTTGTTAAGAAATATGGATTTTGCGATTAGGCTCCGCCCCTAGGTCGGCCAACGAATGAAATTTCATTACTATTTAGATCAGGACAGTTATGGTTGGGTTTTTCTTAATATACATAGCATTCTTTGAATAACACGATACTCAAAAACATGTCTTACATGGTAATTTCTCGTAGAAAAATAAGGATTTTACAATTAAACTCCGCCCCTTGGCTTACCACGAATAAAACAAATCATCAGGGCGGGTGGGTGGGGCTTATATTTTGCCTTTTTTTTTTTCTTGATATCCATAGCCATCTTTTCATAACAAGAAACTTAAAACATGTTTAAAATGGTAGGCGGGTATGGGTGGGGCCTAATCTTTGGTTTTATATTTTTCTTAATAAAGATAGTATTCTTTGAACAACACGATACTCAAAAACATGTTTTTAATTTCTTGTAGAGAAATAAGGGTTTTGCAGTTAAGCTCCGCCCTCTTGGCTCACGACGAATAAAACAAAATCATCACAATTGAGATAGGGTGGGTGGGCAGGGTTACATTTTGCCTTTTTTTTAATATGTGTAGCTTATTTCGACAACAAGAAACTTGTCTAAAATGGTAAATTTTTGTAGTAAGCGGGAACTGCAACGGGAACTTCAACCCAAAATTAATTATTATCAATAGTTATATTTATTTAGACATATTATGTAAATATCTGCAGTCAACGTTCTGCTAATATACCACCATATAAAAAATCGTAATTTTTTAATCATGTTTTATGTTTTAAAAAAGACAAAACAAAAAAGGAAGCCCATTTTTGCGTCCAAATTGAAGTAAAAATATTTTTAAACAAATTATTATTAACAAAAAACAACTGGAGAAAGGGAAAGGGAAACATGTTTAGATGATTTGTGTGTACTAAAAATAATCCAATATTGCACAATTTGAATTCAGTACTAACCATGAATCCTTTTTACCAATAACAAGGAAACACATTTCCATTTTTTCACACACTATGGTAATTTTGTAAAACTGTATCTCTCTACACTGATTATAAAGAAAATCTAGAAGAATCAAACTGCAACGTCAAAAACGCCGGTTGCAACGACAATAAACTAGTAAAGAGCAGTTCCGTAATCAGAAATTCGCAAAACAAAATTGTAGATATTCCACGCTCAAACAAATTATACTCATTTATCGTAAAGCACTTTGTTATCAAAAAAAAAGAATTCTACGAAAATTTTGCTAACGCTAAAGTCGAAATTTTACACGCAGTAACTTCAAATTTATTTATAGACTTCCAATTACTGATGTTCTAAGTAAACAAAACACCGATTTATAGCAGGGTTATTAGAAGGTGACACTTTACACTAATTATGGTTATTAAAATAAAAAAACAAATGCGAAAATGTGAAAAATATGTTTCAAGCCACATATTTAAATACCACTTTTCGCTCATTAAAATTATTTATATTTCACTATTAAACTAAAATAAAATACAATAAATAATGACTAGTTTAACTTTTAAATGCACAATTACGACCAGAGTCGGCGCTGGCTAATTTTGTATTATTCATTCGAAAAATACTCATTCTGGAAAATGATGCAATTACCAATAAAATAATATTCAAAACAAGTAAAAATACCGACGAAATACAATAACTACTCGGTAAATGCAGACGATATGACGTCATCAATTTTTTTTTAAACGGAAATATATGTTTTTCTCAATAGACAATAACAACGTTGTAATTTCCACGATCAAGAATATAGTTCCATTAAAAACAAGTAGAAACAGTTTTTACAGTTCTTTGAGTTGTTTTTGCGTCATTACTTTTAAGTGTGAAGATTTTATCGCGTGATTTTATCACCACTTCGTATAACAAAATATATGCCGCATGTGGGAGAAATATAGAACTATGTATTCTATATCCAGACAATCGGTATTGCATGAAATTCTTATTCTAGTCATACAACACTAATAAAAAATTTCGGTAAAATTTGCCAAAACATCACACCACGTTACTGATTTCTCACAGCTGAAAAAATACAACACACTCAGATAAGCTATATCGCACCATTTCACTACATCCTAAAAGGTATTTCAGCATGTTGTCCTTTCTTGAATATTACAAATATCTGCATGCATTAAACAAATTACTTCACAGCATGTCTTAACAGAACCTTGATGACAATTTTTCAAGGATAGCAACACAGATCTTGATAAAATTACACCAAATTCTGTTTCACATTGTTTATAATTCAATTGTCATGTCGTAGTTGGTCTGCAGTACATATTTTCCTTGAAATTATTCTACAAATAGTACTGATGGCACCAGCTACGTGCCATTTCTTGTCAACTTGTAATTATTAGTCATCGTGCCCCCAATAATAACAATAACAACTACTCCACTGTACAATGATCTCTAACTCTTTCAGATTTTCCTGTAAAACAGCAGCTTTAATTATACAAAAAATAAATACACCACATAAGTACTATATTTTTGTTTGTGGCATACAATTTTGTATTTTTTTTTTTTTCAAATACAACTTGAGAAACAAGTGTCTCTGCGATTTCCATTAATTACTGGTAATTAAAAGCGCGTCGGTAATGATGATAATTTACGAATTAGCTCTACGCTGCCATGGAAAGGGGTCACATTCACGATAAATAATAGGAATAAAAACATTAATAATAAATTTAATTACTTGAACATGGCTTGAAAAAACCAGTTTGATCTATTTTTACCTAAATAATTAATATATCGTCCTACCCAATGATAATCCCTGCATCAACAAGGCGGCAACTAAAAGTTAACGCCCATTCTTATAGATTTCTACAACAATGAAGCAAATATAGGAAGTAATCTTATTTTTTTCGTACTTGTAAAAAATAATCTTGTTTGTGGAAGTTTCGCAATCACAAAAATAGCAATAAATGGATTAGGAATAGTCTGAGTGGGTTTGTGTCCTCGACTCTGTCTGCCACTCCATGAAAAATGATATCACAGATCAAATCTCATCGCTAAATCTTAGACACTTCACTGATATGCCAAAAATTGTTTGTCTCTTTTAGTGCACACACTTGACATAAGTACAGCATCTACGTCAAAAAAATTAGCCATATTTCAAAAAAAATCATTTTCGTTCTATTTTTATTTGTTGTTTTTCGTGTAACAAACAACCTAATCCGTGTCAGAGCCCAGCCCGTAATTAATAAAATCCGATAATAAAATAGAGAACATGGGAGGCATGTTGATTTATGATAATGAAGTCTTCAATCTACGCAGTAAACAGGACCAACATCATCAATTTTTTGTCCATGATGACATAACATTAGATAATATACATGTAGGATAATCAGTTTTGATGATAAAATCCAGCGCATTTTTGCCAGTTCGCGAAGAAACCCAGAAGCACAAACAATCGTCTGCTTTCCTCATCCGGCCTTAATCCAGTTTCAACTAAATTTTCGAATCAAACTAGATGTTTCCAGTGACGTCTTATCAGACTCTATTAAATAATATCGATAGTTTTGGTCCTTATTGGCTATCGCGTTAGGTACTGATAACATCGCACGATTTTTTAAAGATGACCTAGACAAGACGGCAATCGTTAGTTCTAACTATGCAATGGATAACACAAGTCTTCGTCTTTGCCACAGGACAAGAACAATTCAATGAAAAATATTCGCGACAAAGTGATGCCATTCAAGTGGAATCTTGTGCAAGTTCATAGTAGACATTCTATTCCTTGTAATTTATAGTAATTGGTGTTAAAATAAAGTGAACATAATGGCGGTTAGAGGGGGTCAATTTTTCTCACTGTCGATACGAAGATTTGCCCGCATGCTGGCCTTACCAAGGTAAGAGGAAGTTAATTTAATGCAACCTTTAACTTGACCTTAACTTTGAATTTTCTAATGCCGAAATTTATGGCAATTGCTCGAATTTTTACCAATCAAGGGGCCTTATTAAAAAATTTATTTTTATGACTGTCCAAGGATTAAAATTAGTCATGTAAATCAAAGTCTTGATATGCTATGTCGACAGCGAATAAGTGGAGACAGAGGCGACTCGTTTAGTATTTATTTATAAAATTTTGAAATTCCACTATTTTTGGTTTTTATAACATTGAAAAAGCACTACAAGTTGCAATTTTTAATTTTGATACATGGTAATTTGCCAAAACAAACAAACAAATAGGTTATTGGGTTATCGGACCGAAACGTCTCCAATCTCGTTTCATCAAGAGCAAAAAATACCCGTTCCAGATACATTCGGTATTTTTATTGTTTCATTGTAACCTTTAGCGCGTTATTTTTGCCCTTTGGCCGAACGCGTGTGCCGCCTCTGCGCTCCTCCACGATAACTAACACAGTCCAACATAAACACAACGGCTACATGTGAAGTAATACAGGTGTCCAAAGAGTAGTGAAATAATTATTGGGTGAAAACAGGGTTAAAGAAATAAATTAACAATTTTATAGCAACTCCTCTGATCAATATAAGCCTACATTGTTATATCAATAAAAAATCTAAAATTAGAGCAGCATTTCTTTGAATGAATCCAGCCGAAACCTTTAGGTTTAGTGTAGTTAAAAACTTAAATTTAAACAAAAATGAGTTCGGCGCTACCACATTTTTCAAATAATTCGTTTGTGAACTTGTGCTGTCCTGGAACACCTCTACCGTGAGTTTTTCATAAATTAGTGTTTATTTGCATTTTAATGGCGATTATCAGTCGGAAGGAGAAGTGATTTGTTGGAAATGTCCACGCATACGATTATTATTCATAAGAAAATAAAATTAAACTTGTAGTAGGAAAAATTTTAATAATAACCTAAGTTTTAGAGAAATTGACATCTGGAACTGGTGTGGCAGGTTGTGGCACTATAAATCAAACACAGAAACCTGTGTTATGTTTATTTATAGTACGCCTATTCTCTGCCAGATGTCGCCGACTCAACACGAATCTTGAGCCCAAAATTCAAACTAATAAATGCGTTCTATCCTAAAATAAATAATTCAAAAAAGCGATACGATTTTCACTCACTAAAATAATTTTTCTGACATTTGACACCTCCTGTTTGTTTTACCTCACAAAACAATTTAAATCTTCACGTGAGGTAAACATTTGTGTTGGCATTGAAACTCATCTCGATAAATGAAAACAACAAGATAAGATGTCCGAGATAATACGTATTAGCTCAGACCTTTGACTTCGTAAATAACAGATCTGGCAAGATGCTGAACAAAAGTACAAATATTTTCTATGTTAAAACCGCATTAACATTTCTTTTCATATGTATAAGCTTACAACATATCAATGTACTAGATATAAGTGAGCGCGTGGGTACAGACGTACTAGTTTCACGTGAAAATGCTGAAAATTGACATCTGCGAGGAGAAAATTTTGAACAATGTCAAGCTCCAAAAGGCTATCTTGCAGCGGTAAGTCCCACCGGGCTTTCCAATTTCCCACACATAATCAATCATATTATCGAGATGAGATCAGTTCGCTGTATTTTACTGTAATTAAAATCCCACACTATCATACTTCGTTAATCGATTAGTAATTGTCGTTTTTGTACAGAATGGGCAGCTTCAGCTCGACGCCGAAAATACTGAACGATGACAGTCAAGACAACGACATCCAAATGCCCATCAACTTCAGCCGGTTTGAGTTGCTACAGTATTGTCAAACCCAGCCTTTAGTTGAACCCATGGTGAAGAGGGCCTTTAAGAAGGCCGGCGAATCCAATGACGATTCTTACGCATTCAAGTACAAAAAGCTGAATGCCGTGACCAAAGGTAGGCACTGAGTACCGCTTTTTGACAATTTTTAAACCACAAGGTGTGTTTGATTAGGGTCGGAACCAGGTTAGTCAACTAACACAAAATTTGGGCTGGTAGAAAAAGATGATTAACAAAATTGGTGCCACATTCTGGTGTTAGTTTTTAGTGACATGTGTTGTGCTGTTTGCATATTTCAATTGTGTGTTTTTCTGTTCACAGGTTGTAGTGATTATGTTTCTAGTCCTTATTCTCTAAGAGTTTTCCAGTGGAATATTTTGTCCCAAGGTGAGTTATCGAAGTCTAGCGACGTCTAGAGTTTGTGACCAGTCAACAAATTAATATTTTCGCTTCTGCAGCACTTGGACAAATGAATGATAATTTCGTCAAGTGCCCCGATGAAGCTTTGGAGTGGAACTCTCGAAAATTCCGTATAATTGAAGAGATCGTGGAATACTGCCCTGACATTATTTGTCTTCAAGTAAGTAGCGTGCGACATTCACTGAGAAGGTTCATTATTTCTAATTTGTAAACCAGGAAGTGGACCACTTCAACTTCCTAAAACATGTCCTTGGTACTCAAGGGTACACCGGAGTCTTCTACCCGAAACCGGATTCTCCCTGTGTCTACATTACGGGCAACAATGGTCCAGACGGGTGTGCTATATTCTACCGAACGAACAAATTCGACGTAATAAATATCGAATCCAGAATTCTGGAAATCTGGAGAGTACAAAGTAATCAGGTAAAGATTTACAATTTGTGTCTTGCAAACGCTTTCTCAGAGTAATTGTGTTGGCGTTTTGAGATATTCCAGCTGTGACGTAACGTGAAATGTCAAGTGGAGTAGATAGACACCTTAACTTTATATAATACATCTGGAATATTAATAAAATGCTATTGAAACATTTAAAATTTCCACACCATTGGCATTGACAAGGTTATTACTGTTAAAATTATACGGGTTTTGGCGCCAACTTTGTGGACTTTAATTTCCTTAAAATATTATTGACAAATATTATGAGACTTTACACCCAGACCGAATAATTTTAGTCTGTGTTGACTTGCTAAAAAATGACTCAATAATCGTTTCTACGAAGCCATAAGTTGGATATTTTATTTTTAAATTCTACTCTGGTTCATGCCAGTTTTTCGAATTTTAAACACCTTAAATAATAACTATTTATACTTACATTAACATAAATAAAAACTATGCGTAAATAGATTTTTTTAAATTGCAAGGCTAAATTAGCATTTATGTTTAAAACCAAAGTACAATAATAAAAAAGGTGTTTTGTCTAATAAATGGAAACTGCCACATTTTCCTAATTGATTGTTAAATCCTTGTTCTTAAATACATTTTTTTATAACTACTAAATTATGGTTTAAAAAATACGACAAGTACGCCATCTATGGAATGACTTCATGAAGTAGTGATTTTGTGACATTACGGTTTTGCTTGAGCCGACTTTTGCGATTACTTCGTCTTAGATTTGGAGTATTTTATTTCCTTAAAATTTTTGGTAACACAGTAACATCAGTTATTTATTCATCCCTTAAAAAATGTATGACGTCATTTCAAAGTTTTGCTGTACCCATTCGCTTGAAATATATAAAATCGTGTGCTTCGAAACCGTAATCCAGCTACGTTGATGAAGTTAGCTTCATGTATAAATTTTGGTTGGTCTTTTACCATCTACACAACATTCCTAAAATACCTATAAAACAGTGGTAGTTTTGGAGATTATTGTCTAATAAATATCACAAGACTGACGAAAACGGGTGACCTATTTTTTCATACTCTACGGGTCATGAAACGTCGAGAAAATATTAAAGTATCCGTTAGAGGGATGGATTAATAATTAAACTTAACAAACTTGGTTTACTTTCGAGTTGGTCAACGGCGGGGAAAAAACGCTTATCGAAAAACTGAAAAATCTAAATAACGAGATATCAAAGAATTTTAAAAATCGAAGACCTGAAAAATCTAAAAATTTGAAAGTCGAAAAAGCCAGAAATCGAAAATTCAAAATTAAAAAAAAATGCGAAAATTGAAAAATCGAAACATCGAAAAATTCAAAAACTGAAACGTTGAAATCTCGATAAATAAAAAAATTGAAAAACCAAAAAATTGAAAAGCCGAAAAATTTAAAAATCGAAAGATCAAAAAACTGGAAAATTTAAAATTTGAATATTCGAAAAATTCAAAAATCGAGAAATCGAAAAATCTATAATTTTAAAAATTGAAAAATTAAAATATCGCAAAATTGAAAAATCGAGAAATCGAAACATCCATTAATCGTAAAATTGAGGAATCGAAAAAATGAAAAATCCGAAAACTGACACATCCAAAATTTGAGAAATCATATAAATGAAAAATCGAAAAATTGAAAAACTGAAAAATCGAAACATCGAAAAGTCGAGAAATCGAGAAATTCAGAAATAAAAAAAAAATCGAAAAATTGAGAAATCGAGAAATTGAAAAATAAAAAAATCGAAAAATTTAAAATTTATAAACGTCGAAACTAGAAACATCGGCAAATGAGAAATTGAAAAATAAAGAAATGGAGAGAACGAAAATTTGAAGAAATAAAAAATCCAGAAATTGAAAAATCGAAAAAGTCGAAAAACCGAGAAATCGAAAATGCATATGCATAGATTGAAACAATAGAAAATTGGACAATCGAAAAACTGAAAAATTGGAAAATCGAAAAGTCGAAAAACAGAAAAACCGAGAAATCGAACCATCGAAAAATCGAAATAGGCCTAAGTTGAAGAATCGAGAACTCGAAAAATTGAACTATCAAAAAACCGAAACATGAAAATCTCGATAAATCAAAAAATTTAAAAATCTAAAAATCTAAAAATAGAAAGATTGAGAAATTGAAACATCAAAAAAACTGGAAAATTGAAAATTTGAAAATATCGAAAAATTGAAAAATCGAGAAGTTAATAAATCTAAAAAGTGAAGAATTGAAATACTGAAAAATACCAAAACTGAAAAACGGAAGAAAAATTGAAAACTCAAAAACTTGAAAAATCGAAAAATTGATAATTCGTGAACTCGAGAAATTGAAAAATAAAAAAATCGAAAAATTGAGAAATCGAGAAAGTGAAAAATGAAAAAAATCGAAAAATTAAAAATTTACAAACGTCAAAAGTTGAAAAATTGAAAAATCGAAACTAGAAACATTGGCAAATGAGAAGTCGAAAAGTGAAAAAATGGAGAGAATGAAACTGAAGAATTGAAAAATCCAAAAATTGAAAAATCGAAAAAGTCCCAAAATCGAGAAATCGAAAAGTGCAAAAATTGAAACACTAGAAAATCGAACCATCGAAAAATTCAAAAACTGGAACATCGAAAAATCGAAATAGGCCAAAGTTAAAGAATCGAAAACTCGAAAAATTGGGAAAAAACTGAAACATGCAATTCTCGATCAATAAAAAAATTAAAAATCGAAAAATTGAAAAACCGAGAAATCGAAACATCAAAAAAACTGGAAAATTTAAAATTTGAAAAATCGAAAAATCTATAATTTTGAAAGTTGAAAAATGAAAATATCGAAAAATTGAAATACCCAAAGTGACACCTCCAAAAATTGAGATATCAAAAAAATGAAAAATCGAGAAATTGCAAAGTCGAGAAATCGAGAAATTGCAAAGTCGAGAAATCGAGAAATTGAAAAATCAAAAATCGAAAAATTGGGAAATTGAAAAATTAAAAATTTATAAACGTCAACAGTTGAAAAATTTAAAAATCGAAAATAGAAACATCGGCAAATAAGAAATCGAAAAATGAAGAAATGGAGAGAACGAAATTTTGAAGAATTGGGAAACTGAAAAATTGAAAAATTTTAAAAATCGAAAAACCGATAAATCGAAAATGCAAAAATTGAAACAGAAAATTGAAGAATCGAAAAACTGAAAAATTGGAATATCGAAATGTCGAAAAATAGAAAAACCAAGAAATCGAACCATCGAAAAATTCAAAAACTGAAACATTTAGAAACCGAACCATCAAGTAGGCCAAAATTGAAAAAGTGAAAAATCCAGAAATTGAACAATTAAAAAACCGAAACATCGAAATCTCGATAAATCAAAAAATTGAAAAATCGAAAAATTGAAAAACCGTAAAATCTAAAACCGAGAAGTCGAAAAATCGAAAGATCGAGAAATCGAAACATCAAAGAATAGAAATACTGAAAAATCCCAAAACTGAAAAATTGAAAAATCCTAAAATTGACACATTCAAAAATTGAGAAATCGAAAAAATTAAAAATCAAGAAATCGAAAAGTCAAAAACCTGAAGAATCGAAAAATTGAAGAACTGAAAAACTGAAGAATTGAAACATTGAAAAAAATCGAGAAATTGGAAAATCAAAAAATCGATTAATCGTGAAATCGAGAAATCAAAAAATTTAGAAACATCAAAAATTGAAAAACTGAAAAATCGAAAAATTAAAAAATCGTAAAACTGAAACATCGGCAAATGAGATATCGAAAATTGAAGAAATCGAGAAATCGAAAATTTGAAAAATTGAAATTGAAAAATCGAGAAATTACGAAACCGAAAGTTGAAAAATCGGAAAATCGAAAAGCCGAAAAATCGAAAATTCGAAAAATTGAGAAATTAAACAATAGTCCGTAGAACTTTCATTTTTTTTTCCAAAAATCTCGATATCTAGGATAAAAATTTAACACAGATTCATAAACCACAAGTTCAGAACTGTGCTATTTGTTAACATTTAAATAACATTTATTCGACAAAATTTTGAGATGACGTCATGAATGTTGTTATAATTTTTACTTCTTATCCAAAAATCTGAATGCCTAAGATAAAACTTAACACGGATTCATAAACCACAAATGAAGGAGTACGTTATTTTGTAAAACATAAAAAATTTGACAACAATCGGTCCGATAGTTTGGGAGATTATCTGTGCAATTAAAATTCGGATAGATGACAGACAGACAAACAGACAGACGGACAGACGGAAACGGGAGACGAGAAAATATAAAATTAGCCAGTTGCCCGATGGACTTGATTACAATACTTCCTTAGATTACGCTCGCGAAGTAAAAACAAATATACAGAGTAGCGTAAAAGTCTGGAGCTGGTGAAATATCTCAACAATCATTTATTTTTTTGTTCGAAGTGTATTTGGTTTATGCAATTTTTTCAAATTTTTATCCTGACTAGTTTTTGAGAGTCAATGTCAAGTTTTTTTTTCTGAGTGACAGTATAGGGCAAATTTCACGTCAGTATATTTTCGTCTAAAGTCAGTAAAATGTGATAGTGTTATAATTTCTTTTATTTTTACTTCCCGAAGTATTATAATATGATACATTCGGCGAATAACTACTTTCATGTTTTCTCGACGTTTCGTGACCCTTAAGGTACAAATAAGAGGTCTCCCAGTTCCGTCCCCCCGTCTGTCTGTCTGTCATCTGCTCGTCTTCGAAACTCCGATTGACTGTTGTCAATTTTGAATACATTTGGAATAATATTGTGTAGATGGTAAAACGCTAATCGAAATTTATCTAGCGATCTCGACCAACAATTTGATTATGTCACACAAAATTTTTCATGGTAAATCCGCATTTAAACTTTATAAAATAACAAGAAAAAATTCAATACACTTTTTGTGCAAGCAAAGAACGATTTTTTTTGTAGAAATTTAAAATCACAAGGACAGTAAAAGTTACATTGTTTTTGAAATATAACGTGATAAAGAACCAAAAAACGCGATGTAAATTTAAGAAAATTCGATTCACTATGAAATTTTAATATGTATATTAAAATCAAATTTTAAGATGAATGGAAGCGGACTGACAAAAACTTTATGATAACTTGTCTAAGATTTCACCTATGAACTTCTTCAGAAATTGGTAAATTCTTGTTAACTGGCAACACCGCCCTCGCATAAAATGGATTTCTTACGGGTTTTGTACGCTGCCAAGTCAAAGTAGAACGCACAATAAACTGTTTGAACTTTAAAATTTCCCCGCTTTAACTAATAATAACCTCGCAATCCTTAAACTGGGCGCCCATTTCCGCGTTTTGGTTATCACCTCCGAAAAAAAAAAGAGTCCCGATCTGATAGACGCTGTTCCAGGTGGCTCTTCTGGCGAACCTCCGCGTCAAAGAAACCGACCAAGAAGTCTGCATCACCACCACCCACCTGAAAGCCCGGCAGGGCGCTTTCCTGTCGACCCTCCGCAACGAGCAAGGCAAGGACTTGCTCCAGTTCGTGTCAGAGCATTCCGGCGACCGACCTGTGGTGATCTGCGGGGACTTCAACGCCGAGCCCGTCGAGCCCATCTACGGCACGATGTTATCTGACGAATCTTTAGCTCTTGGTAGCGCTTACGCTGACTGTGATAGTTCGAATAAAAATTCGGCGGACCGGGAACCCCCGTACACCACTTGGAAAATACGGGACGAAGGCGAGGTCTGCCACACTATAGACTATATTTTTTATAAGAAGGGTAGCTTAGAGGTTGAGGCTGTACTAGAATTACCAACTGGGGAGGAAATTGGGGAGGATCGGGTTCCGTCGTTTTCGTATCCTTCGGATCACTTTTCGCTGGTCTGCGATTTCAAGATGGGTAGTCAGAAGGTGCAAGCTTCACTTTAAGTGGTACAATTTGTGATAATGTATTTTTAAGTTATGTGTTGTGAAGTGTCTTAAGGTTTAAATTATTTGTACTTACGGTAGAAGTGTAGGATTTTTTCAACTAACAGTAACAATAAAAGAAGGTCGATAATTTGTTTTTTTTTTACTGTTGTATACTCTTGTACCTAAAGCCAATTGCAAATCAGTCGAGTCCACTTCCATAGGCAAAAAAGTTGAAATCGTACAACACTGAGGACGTATATGCATATTCGAAGGTAAAATTAAAATACCAATACAAATAAAAACTGAGCTATCATGAGTCCTCACGAATAATGAAACCCATACGACGCATATGGGTTCTCGTATGTACGGCGATGATGACTCATCGGCGGGCGGGCGGCGCTCGCTAAAGAAAAACCTGGAAGCGGAACTCGTGATGGGTATTCCAGAAAGACCCCGATCGCCCAACATCTAGAAGGAAGTATGGCTTTAAATAGAGGGCACCTTCGGGAACGATTATTATTCAGTTAACGAGTCGAGTCCAGTCAAATTGCGCCGGAATTATTTTATATATAATCGTTGTGTAATCAGTCGTGTAAATTAGAGTTATTAAGAAATAAAATGTTGAGTTTTACCCACGTCAATTTTTAATTACGATCGAAGTAATAACAGTATATACATCGTGTAAACTATAAATTCCATTATCACTATTCCGTCACAATTTTCATTAAAATGGACGTAGCTTGTTTTAGTTTCGGATTCATATGTAAAAGCGAACGGAAATTAGACGAAAAAAAAGTTCGGTAAAATAGGTCGAAAATATATTGTGATGGACGGCAATATAAATACTTTCGTCTTGTATTATCATTCTTTACTATATTGTTGGTTGCGTATAAAAAAATGACATTTCTCATTCGTTTCGCATTTTGCATTTCTCATTTTAAAACATTGCAAAAATTGAAATAATACAAAACTGAAGAATCGAAAAACTGGAAAATTGAGAAATTGAACAATTCAATGAAAAACTGACAAACCGAAAAATCTAGAACCGAGAAAGTCGAAAAATCGAAAGATCGAGAAATCGAAGCATCAAAAAACTGAAAAATCTAAAAATTGAAAATCCAAAAAATTGAAAAATCGAGAAATCGATTAATTGGGAAATTGAGAAATCGAAAAATTACAAATTTAAAAACGTCAAAAACTGAAAAACCGAAAAATCTAAAACCAAAAAGTCGAAAAATCGAAAGATCGACAAACCGAAACATCAAAAAACTGAAAAGTCTAAAATTTGAAAATTCGAAAAATTAAAACATCGAGAAATCGAAAAATCTATTAAAGTTTTAAAAATTGAAAAATTAAAGTATCGAAAAATTGAAAAATCGAAACAATAATAAATAAAAAAATTGATGAATCGAAATACTAAAAAATACCAAAACTAAAAAATGGAAGAACAATTGAAGAATCGAAAATTGAAAAATTCCAAAACTAGCACATCGAAAAATTGAGAAATTGAAAAAATGAAAAATCGAAAAACTGAAAAACCAAAAAATCTAAAACCGAGAAGTCGAAAAATCGAAAGATCGAGAAACCGAAACATCAAAAAACTGAAAAGTCCAAAATATGAAAATTCGAAAAATTAAAAAATCGAGAAGTCAAAAAATCTAATATATATTTTAAAAATTGAAAAATCGAGAAATCGAAACATCAGTAAATCGAAAAAGTAAAGAATCGAAATACTGAAAAATACCAAAACTGAAAAATGGAAGAAAAATTGAGAAATCGAAAAAAAAATCGAGACATCGCAAAGTAGAAAAATGGAAGTCGTAAAATCGAAAGATTGAAAAATCAAAAACCTGAAAAATTGAAGAATTGAAAAACTGAAAAATCGAAACATGGAAAAGTCGAGAAATCAAAAAATTACAAATTTAGAAACGTCAAAAATTGAAAAACCGAAAACTAAAACCAAAAAGTCGAAAAATCGAAAGATCGATAAACCGAAACATCAAAAAACTGAAAAGTCTAAAATTGAAAATTCGAAAAATTAGAAATCGAGAAATCGAAAAATCTACCAGTTTTAAAAATTGAAAAATTAGAATATCGAAAAATTGATAAATTGAAAAAATGGAAAATCGAAAAATTGAAAAACCAAAAAATCTAGAACCGAGAAGTCGAAAAATCGAAAGATCGAGAAACCGAAACATCAAAAAACTGAAAAGTCCAAAATATGTAAATTCAAAAAATTAAAAAAATCGAGAAGTCAAAAAATCTAATATATTTTAAAAATTGAAAAATCGAGAAATCGAAACATCAATAAATCGAAAAAGTAAAGAATCGAAATACTGAAAAATACCAAAACTGAAAAATGGAAGAAAAATGGAAGAATCAAAAAACTGGAAAATCCCAAAACTGACACATCGAAAAATGAGAAATCGAAAAAATGAAAAATCGAGACATCGTAAAGTAGAAAAATCGAAGTCGAAAAATTGAAAATTCAAAAACCTGAAAAATTGAAGAATCGAAAAACCGAAAAATCGAAAAATTGAACGGTTCAATGGAAAATTGAAAAACCGAAACATCTAAAACCGAGAAAGGCGAAAAATTGAAGCATCAAAACACTGAAAAACCTAAAAATTGAAAATTCAAAAAATTAAAGATCGAAAAATCGAAAAACCTAAAATTTTAAAAATTGAAAAATTAAAATGTACCCAAAAAATTGAAAAATCGAGAAATCAAAATATCAATAAATCGAAAAATTGAAGAATTGAAATACTTTGAAACATACCCAAACTGAAAAATGGAAGAAAAATTGAAGAATCGAAAATTGAAAAATCCCAAAACTGTCACATCGAAAAATTGAGAAATTGAAAAAATGAAAAATCGAAAGATCGAGAAACCGAAACATCAAAAAACTGAAAAGTCCAAAATGCGAAAAATTAAAAAATTGATAAGTCAAAAAATCTAATATTTTAAAAATTGAAAAATCGAGAAATCGAAACATCACTAAATCGAAAAAGTAAAAAATCGAAATACTGAAAAATACCAAAACTGAAAAATGGAAGAAAAATTGAAGAATCAAAAAACTGGAAAATCCCAAAACTGACACATCGAAAAATGAGAAATCGAAAAAATGAAAAATCGAGACATCGCAAAGTAGAAAAATCGAAGTCGAAAAATTGAAAATTCAAAAACCTGAAAAATTGAAGAATCGAAAAACCGAGAAATCGAAAAATTAAAAAATTGAAATATTAAAATATCAAAAAATTTAAATATTATTTATAAGTCTAAAATATAAAAATTCGAAAAATTAAAAAATCGAGAAATCGAAAAATCTAGTATTTTAAAAATTGAAAAATCGAGAAATCGAAACAACAATAAATCGAAAAATTGAAAAATCGAAATACTGAAAAATCCCAAAACTGAAAAATGGAAGACAAATTAAACCATCGAAAAATTTTAAAATCCCAAAACTGACACATCGAAAAATTAGAAATTGAAAAAATGAAAAATCGAGACATGGCAAAGTAGAAAAATCGAAGTCGAAAAATCGGAAAATTGAAGAATTGAAAAGCTGAAAAATTGAAACATTGAAAAGTCGAGAAATCGTGAAATTGGAAAATCAAACAATCGATTACTCGAGAAATTGAGAAATCGAAAAATTACAAATTTAGAAACGTCAAGAATTGAAAAATTAAAAAATCGAAAGATCGAGAAATCGAAGCATCAAAAAACTGAAAAATCTAAAATTTGAAAATTCGAAAAATTAAAAAATTGAAATATTAAAATATCAAAAAATTAAAATATTAATATATCGAAAAATTGAAAAATCGAGAAATCGAAACATCAATAAATCGAAATTCTGAAAAATGCCAGAACTGAAAAATCGAAAAATTTAAAAATCCCAAGACTGCCACATCGAAAAATGAGAAATCGAGACATTGCAAAAAAGAAAAATCGAAAGATTGAAAAATCAAAAACCTGTAAAATTGAAGAATTGAAAAACTGAAAAATCGAAACATGGAGAAGTCGAGAAATCGAGAAATTGGAAAAATAAAAAATCGATTAATCGGGAAATTAAGAAATCGAAAATTTACAAATTTGGAAACGTCAAAAAATGAAACATTGAAAAACCGAAACATCAAAAAACTGAAAAGTCTAAAATATGAAAATTCCAAAAATTAAAAAATAGAGCAATCGACAAATTTAAAATTTTAAAAACTGAAAAATTAAAATATCGAAAAATTGAAAAATCGAGAAATTGAAACATCAATAAATCGAAATATGTACTGAAAAATGCTAGAACTGAAAAATCTAAAAATTGAAAAATCCCAAGATTGACACATCGAAAAATGAGAAATCGAAAAAAAGAAAAATCGAGACATTGCAAAAAAGAAAAATCGAAGTCGAAAAATCGAAAGATTGAAAAATCAAAAACCTGTAAAATTGAAGAATTGAAAAACTCAAAAATCGAAACATGGAAAAGTCGAGAAATCGAGAAATTGGAAAATTAAAAAATCGATTAACCGGGAAATTGAGTAATCGAAAATTTACAAATTTGGAAACGGCAAAAATTGAAACATTGAAAAACCGAAACATCAAAAAACTGAAAAGTCTAAAATATGAAAATTCGAAAAATTAAAAAATCGAGCAATCGAAAAATCTAAAATTTTAAAAACTGAAAAATTAAAATATCGAAAAATTGAAAAATCGAGAAGTAGAAACCTCAATAAATCGAAAAACTGAAGAGTCGGAATACTGAAAAATCCCAAAATTGAAAATTGGAAGAAAACTTGCAGAATCGAAAAATTGAAAATCACAAAACTGACATCGAAAAATTACGACATCGAAAAAATGAAAAACCTAGATATCGCAAATTTTCTACTACGAAGGTTGCATATAAAAAAAATGGCATTTCTCATTCGTTCCGCATTTTACATATCTCATTTTTCATTTTACATTATTAACTTCTCATTTCGCATTTCTTGTTTCTTATTTCGCACATTTCGTTCCGCATTTCTCATTTCATCCCAGTTCTCACCTCCTTTCTCATTGATCGTTTCTTTTGAATTTCCTTTCATCTCATTTCGCATTTCCCATTTCTCATTTCTCATTTTTTCCTGCTTCTCATTTCACAATTCTCATTTCGTACTTATAATTTCGCAATTCTCATTTCGCATTTCTCATTAATCATTTCGTCTCATTTCTCGTTACATCCCATTTCTCCTTTCTCATTTCGCATTTCCTATTTCTCATTTCAGATTCTCGTTTCTTCCCATTCCTCACCTCATTTTTCATTTCACATTACTTATGAATTATTCTTTCTCATTTCATCTCATTTATCATTTCGCGTTTCTTATTTCGCATTTCTCCTTTTTTCCTATGTCTCACTTCATTATTATTTCACATTTTCCATTCCTCATTCCGTATTATTCATTTCTCATTTCACATTATTCATTTCGCATTTTATATTTCTCATGTTTTCCCATCTGTCACCTCATTTTTCATTTCACATTTCTCATTAATTAATTCTTCTCATTTCTCATTCACTTCGCACATCTCGTTTGTTATTTTTTCCCATTTCTCATTTCACATTTCTCATTTCTTCCCATTTCTCACCTCACTTTTCATTTCACATTTCTCATCAATCATTTCTTTTCAATTCTCATTTCATCTCACTTTTTCTTTACCATTTTGCACATCTCATTTCGCATTTCTCCTTTCTTCCTATTTCTCATATCGCGTTTCTCATTAATTATTTCTTATTTTTCGTATCATTTCATTTCTTCTATAACATTTTTTATTTCTCATTCATTTGATTTCGCATTTCTCATTCCGCATTATTCATTTTTCATTTCGCATTATTCATTTTTCATTTCGCATTATACACTTCTCATTTTGCACTTCCTATTTCTCATTTTTTCCCATTTCTTATCTCGTTACTCATTTCACATTTGTCATTGTGCATTTCTCATTTTTCAGTTTTCATTTCCCATTTCTCATTTCGCATATCTGATTTTTTCTAATTTCTCACCTCATTTATGATTTCGGATTTCTTATTAATCATTTCTTCTCAGTTCCCGTTTCATTTCATTTCTGCTTTCTTCTTTCGCATTTCCTATTTCTCATTGATCATTAAACGTTTCTACTCACTTCTGGTTTCTTTTCATTTCTGCTTTGTTTTTTTCGCGATCTCCAGTTCCCATTTCGCATTTCTTTTCGTTTCGTATTCGTCATCTTTAGTAGGTACCTGTTTCTCTTTTTTATTTCTCCATTTCTTATTTATCCGAAATAAAGAACAGATCGTAAGACGAAAGCCGTTTCATTCCTAAAATAGGCTTTCGTGCGAAACTTATATTTAAATGCGTTTCAGTATTAGTGCCTATTTGCCTATTATATTGCGTAAAATGCCTAAATTAGGCATTTTAGCCAATACTTTATAAAAAAAGCTTTTTTTTAATAAATAATAAAGCAGCTTTAATAGAAATAATTCGACCTTACAAAGAACCTTCTCTTGAAATACAAAAACTAATGGGATAACTAAATGCATAAACGGGTTTTAATGAGAAATTAGAGCTATTTTTCAAAGCTTCTACACATAGAAATACAAATATTATTTATTTTAGTTTAGGAAATTTAGAAAGGTTTACAATTTTCAAAAGTAACTCCTATTATTGGCACTGAGAGAAAGAAAAGCTTTTTCTACATAAAACTGCCCTTCATTTGAGACAAAATACTTTGGTACTCTCTCTGAAAATGTAATTATTCAAAAAATACGTTAGTTGCTTCATTATTACACCACTTATGGACAAAGAAACAATTTATACCGTCAGACGAGACGTTCGTCTTTTAATCCGGCTTTATGCTACCTTTCTGCAAAAATGTTGACCATTCTGTTCTCTGATTGGTTAGTGGTTGGGCCTGTTTTACAAAGCACCAATTCACCAACTGTTAATTATCATGTCAAATATATGCGAAGAGTTCAAATGAGATTCAATTACCGATATCATCGATAAACACCAGCGTATTTGTAAAAACCGAAAAAACAAAATAACGAAAGCGAACACCCCCATGTATTGCGGTGAAACCCGCCTTTGATAGTAAAGCGAATTTAAAAATAATTATTATTGTAAATAATTCATTGTATTGTAAATAATTCATTGTTAAACTTTTAAGGGGGCATCAAATCTTTTGTGAATTAATAATACAAAATTTTAAACTTACTTGGCAAGTTTTCTGTCAACCACCAAATGACGTCACAGGGTTTTAGGGAATTTCTCAAATTTAAAAATACTATTGGTACAAATCACAACGCCGCGCAGAAGTACATGGGCGGAGCTACAATTTCCACGTATTGTTTCTGCAGTTTACTCGGCCAATGTGTACTTTTCGAGGAGAAATAATTGTTTCTCTCTCCACGTACCCCACGTTTTGGTGTGTAACTATGTGACAACTGACAGAACACCAAACATTAGCAAAGTGTAAGCAAAGTTATAAACTACTCAGTGGTTATTAAATGCAGAGTGCGTTAAATAAATCCACATAGACTCACTTTTTATCAACATTAAACAACGCCGCATTATTTGAAACAGAAAAGCAAACACTTCAAGTAAACAACATAACTTTCGCAAGAGTATGGCATCATCTTTGGAAAATTTAGAAACTCAACTTGAAATGTTCATCGAAAATGTGCGACAAATCCACATCATTGTTAGCGATTTCCAACCACAGAGCCAGAATGTGCTCAACCAAAAATTGTAAGTAATAGCTAAAAATATTCGTCATCTTATAACCACGTTTTAGGTTGGCTCTAGTACATGGTTTACAAGAAGTAGACAAATTAAAATCTCAAGTACAAGAAGTACATGTACCTTTGGAAGTCTTTGAGTAAGTTTCACAAAAGTCTGTAATAATTGTGTTACAATGTTGTAATTTTAGTTACATTGATCAAGGACGTAATCCTCAATTATACACAAAAGACTGCATTGAAAAAGCTCTGGCTAAAAACGAACAAGTTAAGGGTAAAATCGACGCCTACCGCAAGTTCAAAGCAAACATGCTGCTGGAACTAAGCAAGACGTTTCCTAATGAATTAAGTAAATACAGAGCAATCAGGGGAGATGAATAAACAAGTCAATTACTTTTATTTAAAAATAAGTTATTATGTTACAAAAATACAAATTGTCTTATCAAAATGATTAAACTTAAGTATTGTATTCTTCTACGCTTTTTAACGATTTAACATTTTCCTCATGCCTTCGCAAGTCTGGCAAAATTATAGCCAAAAAACCTTCATTTAAATCATCCAACAAAAAATTTGGTTCTTTAATCACTCTGCTGTTTATCTCTAACAATTTACCATAAACACAGGCGTGAACAGGGTAGCGTGCCCCATCTACAGTCTCCATGTGGCAAAGAATAGAATCAGGTTGTAACAGTTGGGCCCCCCTTTTACCTTTACCAAACATTGCGTTCTTCAAACGATTCACTTTCTTACTCACTTGGAAATCGATGGACTGCAACCTTTGTTGATTTTGTATGACTGAATGCTTCTCTGAAAGATATATGAGACTAATTTTGTTAGTGTGTATTCTGACACACGTGTCTAAATTAACAGTATCTGTGGTGAATCTCGTGCAGTACTTTTTTTCAAAGTAACGTTCATGAAAAGGCCTAAATTCATCAATTTGTTGTTGTGTGATGCTATCAAGTATTGAAGGAATTTCTATATCCTCGTCATCGCTTTCGGTTTCAACTCTAGCCTGAGACGGACCTGGATCCTCTTCAGGGTTTGAACTTGTCGATGGTATCTCTTCGCTTTCTTCCTTTAATTTGGAATATTATTGCTCGATTAATCGCTAAACGTGTTAAAACTTACTTTTTCTACTTCCATTTTTACACACTTCTGTCCAAATTCATTAAAAAATATTTCTATTTTTTGTAGCGGCTAACGCTTTGACTTGAATTAGGTTAGAATTTTGACAGTTCACGTTTCTCGTCGACCAATCAGCTGCATTGGCGCCAAAACACAAATTACAAAAACAACCATTACCAGCTCATACAAAGTTTATTGTATTTATTTAATTACATTACTTATTATTACAATATTATAAAACCACAACGTCTTCAAAAATCTTGATTCCCCCAGCGTATCTGCAAACAAATAAATGTTCAAAATTGCCATCTACAAGTTGAAATTCCTTACATCGGTTCTTGCCTTCAATTTTCTATCAATCAACCCACATAAAGTTTCTGATCTAACTGATAGGGTGTCGATTTTCTCAATCAACTGCTGGTACGGCGAAAGAGGTTGTGCTCCCATGACGACGTGCCCCAATTTTGAGTCAATCTTAGCGTCAAGTCGAGCATTTCTAATCAAATTAACAATCCAACATTCCGCTTCTTCGGGGTTCATGTTTAACTTCTCAGCCAACATTCCAATACTGATACATTGATGAATTCTGCAGAAAGTCTCGAAAATCATCAGACGCGCATTTTCAACAAACTCATCTAAACACGAAATCAAAAAGAAATCGTTAAAGAGGACAGACTGACATTCGTGCAGTTTCTGCCTCGCTCCATCAAAGTCAAAATTGACGTATAAGTGTTCCAAAAATTCGGTTATGGGGTCCCGGTAGGTGTAACTCTCTTGTTGGATTACTTTTACCAGATCTTTCAGAGCCGATCGACGCACTCTGTTAATAATAACTGCAGTGGCTAAGTAGCGTAAAATGTGGGGGCACATTGTTTGAATCGCGTTCAAATAGTGTGGTCGGTATAAAAACATTTCAATAATTAATTCACGACCCATTGCGTGATTGAAAAAGACAAACAATGACCAGTGGATCAACCACGTTCGTTGTTGCAACAACTGGAGGCTGTTTCCACCAAACTGATTCGGGCTGGAGTCTATATATTCGCGCAACTTGTTCAAGTCTTCCAACGCTGAGTCCCAATTCTGGACTAAAATTTCTGAGGCAAATTTCCCCCAAAGGACGCTCAAGTAATTTTTGTCACTAGGTGGTAACACTAGCATGCAGAAGTACAGGTAGGACGTTGATACGGAATAGTTGCCACATTCATATCTGTATTTGGCGAGCTTGTGCAGAGATTCAATCATCTCGATTTCAAACTATAAGAAAGAAAAAAATGTTTGTGTGTTATTTAATCAACTGTAATAAAAAATTACTTTATAGTCCTTTGCTAGAAAGTTGATCAAGGTTTTGGAATCCCTCATATTCTCCATGTTTTTCATGACTTCATCATCCGCCATAATTTTTAAAATTGGCTGTACTTCTTGCTGAAGTTCTTGAAGTTGTGCTACAACATGAACACGCCTTTGCTTCAAATCTTCAGGAACTTCTTCGTTTGGGTACAACTGCTTTCTGATATCGATGGCATAATCGATCATGTTGGTTTTACTGAGAATGTCCAATTTGGCTTTCAGTAGTTCCGTTTCATCGTAAATCTGCCGGTTAGTCTTTTAGAGAAGGAACATAACCTTAAAATAAATGCGTACCTCTTTCGCGGACAAGAATTCCAACAAAGGGAACACCAAATGCCGATCCAGATATTGTCCCATGCGGGACGTTAAATCAAACTGTGCCATTTTGAGACTTATTTTGTATAAATTAAAATTAGCGAAATGTGGTTCACATATGGCTACCGCACGCCAGCGTGGAGAATTACACGTTTTTAGGTTGGCCATTGACACATGTCATACTTGTCAAAATCAAAGCGCACATTTTTAAATCATTTTATTTTTCAAACTACCACATAACAGAAAATACAAATGAAAATGAAAATTACACATGCACGTAAGCAACTTTTCACTGCCCAATGTATTTGTCAATTGACTCATATTTCCATTCAGTGTCCTTCAAATAGTCTAGTTCTTTCCTCAAATTTTTTATCCTATTTTGGTGCATGTCTTGAAGACTTTGTCCAGCGTTAGTTCTCACAATTTCAAAATATCTGGTTTGCTTCAGTGTTGCCGATAACGACGTTCCATCGAATTTTTCCTCGGAGAAGGACGGCGACGACAAAATGGCTTTCGGTAAATTTGACCCCGACATTTCAGTAAAAATTGAACAAATTTACTGTATTGGACGCATAACCTATAAACCTTTGACGGATCAATGAAGCAGGTATGACACTCACAGCACGAAAAAAACGGAATTTCGCTTCTCGTTTGCGTGGACTTTAACACTTTCATGTACACGTCTGATAACGTCGTTGCGATTTAAGTGCAAAATGTAGCGAAATAGTCGAATTAAACCCCACTTAACAACAACTTTTATAAGAAACGATTTTTTCTTCAACGTTGTTACGTTGGTGACCCTGCGCGAATTCATTACAAATTTGGTTAAAAAATGATTTGCGCCAGTGAGTGAAAAGTTGTAAATTGTGTTGGTTGTTGTTCAGACCTTGACGTTGTGAAATCATAACATAAAATGAAAACATAAAGCCGGTTAAAATTAGTTCCAAGGTATATCAAGCGCAGACAAGTAGTGATGAGCATGGAAATCAAAAGTGAAGAACCAACACAAAACAGAATTCTTTTGGAGGAGACCTTTTACGTTTTAACGAAGAAAAATTGCGTGTTTCGAGTCCGTTTAAGCAAAACCGGTTTGTGTTTAGTAAAAGAAAGCGAAAATAACGTCAAGGAGCAAATCATTCCCATACAGGACATCATAGGATGTAGATGTCTACGGAGCAAAAAACAATCAAAGAATTGTGCTTGTCAGTCAATTCCACGTTCCACTAACTTGAAAGTTGTCGAGGAAAATTCGGGCGATTTGGACGACACGGATGTGAGCGCTTATCTGTACATTTACGCATATATTTTAGTGAATAACAAAGGCACTAGTAAAAAGAGGGAACGTACTATTATAACACTAAGGTTTCGATCATTTGACAAGTATGAAGACAACAATAAAGAAGCGCAAAGGTGGAGGACGATAATCAAAAGACTTATTAAAGGGGATAATGTTTCTACGAGCCACATTGCTGAGTTTTCCATGTCTAATAAATTTAAGGAGAGCAGAAGATTGTTGGTTTTGTGCAACCCCAAAAGTGGGCCAGGGAAAGGAAGAGTTATTTTTCAACAGAAGGTTGTTCCTATTTTGCAAGAGGCAGAAATTCCATATGATTTACATATCACCAAACATGCCAATTTTGCCAGGGAGTTTATTAGGACATGCAATATTTACCAGTGGAGTGGAATCGTTCTAGTAAGTATAATAAATTTTACTTTTAAAAAACGGTATACACTGTTATCAAATTCATAGCATGGCAAAACATTAAAGTAGTGATAAAAATAAAAAGTGACTCATTTGGTGGATTTTTGCATAATAATAAGTACACCCCACCATTATGTGTCATGGAAAAAATTAATTTATTTTTAGTTATTTTCCATATATTTTTTTAAAGATATTCAATCACGAATTTCTAAAACTAATAATAATAAAAAATCTATGATATGTGTGATAGGTTTTAACCTTTAGAACCCTGATAATATATGTAATCAATATCTTTTCAAGCATTTTCATCAGCTGCGATAAAATAACATGACTTTTTTTTGCATAACTTTTGTTTTAGCCTTTGAAGGGTCACCTAGAACTACAATAATATTGCTTTTTATGTAGTGTTGCATGTTCTCAGATTAATAATTATTAACCATGACGAAACATGTACCACACATTTCAAGGATGTTTTTTTTTTACAGAAAAACGCACGTTTTGTTTGTATAGTCATGAATATGTTGAGAAATATGAACATTAAAATTGTAAATCAAATTGATTCCACCATAAAATATAAAATGGTTGAAGTAGAAAACGACCTATCCCAACATTGTTGCATTTTTTTCACTGACTTGCAGTGATGTCAGGGACACGTCGTCTTGGCCAAATCAATTTAATGCAATTAGTGTTAATTAAATGAATTAATAAACGCGGAAAAAATTTAGTTCGTTGACTACGTAATTTGTCGTTTCACCGATTATCCAACGCGGAAAGCGGAATCGCCGAAAACCGCAACAATTTACTAAAAAAAAAAATTGGCGTATTTTAATTTTTTTTTTATATTAATGAAGATAATCTGTTATCTTCAAATAATAGCGGAAGTACTATGTAAACTGCTGTGTAAATATTATTGTATATATCTTTTAAAATTAAGTAATTTATAACTGTGACGCAGCCCACTTTATTAAGAGAACGAGTTTGCGGACGCGTGTACGTAAATTTATCGTTTATTTATTTTTTTTTCGTTTTTACAACATTCGATTTATATGTTTGTGGTATTAAACACTTGTTGTCAAGTTTGTTTTATTGAGTAAACATTTGTACGACTGTTAACAATGGGGAAACGGTGTTTTTGCTTGGTCTACAACCTTCACATAATACGGTGAGATATTTCTGTAAGAATTTACTTTTTTTTAAAGGTAAACCCGTTTCTAACTAAAAATACAGCAACAATTAATTTTTAAAAATTCATTATTGTGTTTACCTTCGCTGTCTTACTTTGCTGACGTTGTTCCGATATTTTCCATGATTTTTTGCAGTGCATAATTTATTTTCGTAATTGTTGCAATTTGTTAATTCATGAACTGCGTATATAAACACTCCAATTTTTCAATATTCAGGAACAAAGTTTAGAGTTGAATGTTTCGCAAAGGTGACCTTATCAAGGTAGACATCATTATAATTATCTAATTTCCAAAATAGGAACGCAACAACTATCGCTTCAGATAAATTCAAATTGCAGCGAATTTATAAATAACATATTAATTATTCAGAAAGCTTTTTTTAATATAGCCCTAAGTGCACTCCACCCATCTCATAAATTTAAAAGTTGATCGTACTCGATAACGAAACAACCCGCAAACTGTCTCATGAATAAACAGTGTTTATCGATTTTGTAGGATATGAGTTTCGGTTCAAAATAATAGTTTCTTGCAACTTTCGTAGACGTAGACATAAGAAAGTTTAGTAGTAAGTGTAAAACGAAAAACACAAAGTATGGTTGTGTTGTAAATAAATATGCAGTTAGCAACAAAATTGTTGCGTTTCCGATTTTATGGTACTCATAAAAATCAAACAGTAAATTTATTGCTTTTGTTTACTGAAAAGTTTATGGTTGTGTTGTTATCGAAATTTAAATCGTTGTTTTAAAACTGTTTTTTATGTTATGTAAACACTTATATGATGATTGTATAGACGTATTTAAAAAAAACTGCAATTATTATTTACCATGTTATCGAAAAAAAGTCTGGCAATGTTTGAAGTTTAACAGTTACGGTCAGATAACTGTCAAATAGAGTGTCAGATAGCTGTAATGCCAACATCATTATTTTAAAAATAAATTTCATGGCTTACTAGATACACATGGTAGTCCTATATATGTTGGATAGACTGATTTCAAAGACAACGTCGAGCCAATTAAGAAATTAAAGCTTACTAGTTAATTAAGTTTGTATTAATTGTGCTACCGACAGAAAAATTAAACACGTAACGCAAAAAGTAGGACAAGTACAGAATAATAACTCAAATTCGCTTTATGTTATATAATTTCTGCAGAGAGCGAACATTTCCTGATGTAGCAATCAGTTGTTTAATCTCAGGAGGGACAATAAATCTAATAGCATTTTTGCATGGTTTTAGTTAATACAAACAACTTTTTTCCATTTTGCTAAATATTCATTTTAGAGGTGGTACTTTATATTTTGTAAAAAGTTTTAAAACTGTAGGTTTTAAATTATTCGTGTTGTTTGGATAACTTCTGTTACTTATAAAACATGACTGTGCGATGATTAATCATAGTAATATAAGTTTACTGTTAGACAGTTTTTATATGATGTAGATGCGTTAAAAATAGCGTTACGGTAAATTTATAACACCAGAAGATATTAACGCATATTACCATTTTTATTGCATGTGTTGAAACAGTAATATGAAAATTATCAAGAATTTGCTTCAGGTTGTCGAAAAGTTGATATTTTACATTCTTTGTGATGCATATTTTAAAATAAGGTGTTCATTTGTGGTGGCACTGAAAGGTCATTTAATTATACAGTGTTCTAAAATAACTGCTGACAAAATTTAGAGCAAAACAATTTCGCTAAATTTTGAATACTTATTTATTTTACTTAATAAGAAACTGTGACACCTATAATAATGCTTGAAAACGTCTATGGAAGCATTATGAAGCGAGTAATTTGTTTGCCTACGTGCAAATTGACGCAATTTTGAACATCTACTTTAATCTACATAATTCTTGTTCGTATTGTTGTTTAATTTTTGTTCGTATTGTTGTTTGACGTCCATTCATTTTTGAGTAGATTTATAATTAATTAATAACATAATGAAAATAAAGTAACAAAAGTTTGTATTTAATAAATTTTATAATTCTTCATAAACGCAGAAAATTTCAAACTTCAAATATTGCGAGTATATCGCTGAAAAAAGATGCATCTACAACGGAAATTAAACCAACGTAGATATTAAGATTATTTCACATAATAATAATAAGACTTCTTCAACTTTACCGCGAAGATTTACCACGTAGATAGCAGATATAAAAAACTGATGATGTACTTGTAGATGAAAAAATATATAGATTGGAATCGAGAACGAATTTCAATCGAATCAGTGATTTTTTTTAATAATATTTCATTGAATAAAGTCAATAATCTACCTATGATATTTACGCGGCCTCAGGTTCGTTGTCGGCTGCATTGTTTGCAAAGGAGTCAGAAAAATTCTTATAGCCCCGATCGATAATTACGGGTATCTAAATTCCGCCTACAACAACCAAAAGGCTCCTACTCGATAAAATTTACCCAACACCCAAGGTCTAGAAGTCGAGGAATACATAACATGAAGCTCAAAATATTACTCAGCAGTTTTTCCAAGATTCAACCCACCGAGGACCACAATTCTTCCTTATCGATTGTATAACTATGAAATGTGTTCAACGTCACCACTGACATTAAGCAAAATATTGTGTTACACAACAGAAAATAAAGTGCGTGCCAAAAGCGATCATAAATCCTCAGTTTGAAAAATATCTAAATTGGAAGTAGCAGAATAAATAATGTCTCCTTTTATAACTGAAAACATTATTTTTGTCATGAAAAAAAAATGTATAACTTATAACCAATTCATCAGAGAGGTGTGAATGTTAATTCCGTTTAGTCAGTACAATTACACCTTCAGAATTTTTACGATTGCACGCGCCACCTCTTATTACCCGGGCGCTTTTTAATCGTCCGACTTCACTCCTCTTCACATCGTGTCATAAGATCATTAGTCAGAAATTAAAACAATTGTGGTTAGGTGTGTCTCGATTTTCAGTAATCTGCCAGAATGAACTAATTGATGCTTATTCTCTTTAATATTTTTCGAGATGAATTTTGCCAAGGTTCTACTACCTCCAAAGTTTACAGCGTGGGCTTGCTGCAACGTGGTTGCTTAATTATATTACTGTTGTTTTGGGTGTGACGTAATTTCGTTTTTGGGATAACCAGTGACGCGCATTTCAAGCTGAGTTTTGGGGGATTACATCTTGTAATACTGATCCCACTATTTACTACAATGGAAAAGTCAGGAAAATGCTATTATTTTTATTTTTGTTAAATTTATCTGAGACACACGATAACGTAGATCCATCGTCAGGTCGGCGGCGACGGCATCGTTTTCGAAGCAATCAATGGGCTCTTCGAGCGTTGGGACTGGTCCGACGTTGCAAAAAACATTCCAGTCGGGGTGGTACCAGGGGGGTCCGGTAACGGCCTAGCCAGAAGTATAGCGTACCACTGTTCAGAACCCTATGACCCATCACCCACACTACCTTCAGCTTTGGCAGCTGTTCGACACCACTGTGCCCCCATGGACCTCGTCCGCGTCGAAACTACCTCACAAATAATGTTTTCTTTTTTGTCGGTTGGATGGGGCTTCCTATCAGACATCGATATAGAGAGCGAAAGACTACGAATGCTGGGAGGACAAAGGTTCACGGTATGGTCCGTGGCAAGGCTCATAGGACTGCGGAGTTACAGCGGAAGGTTGTGGTATGTTAATTATTTTTCTAATGTGAACTTTGAACAAACACGTTTTGCACTTGCGCTAATTAAATGTAACGACTGTTTGATTAACGGAATGAAGGATATCACTTGTACTTTCACCAAGTTATGTAACAGTTTTGCATTGTTAAAGTGAAAGTAACTTCCTGCCAAATCTCGGCTGACGCCTCGCCAAAAACATGAAATTATAATTAGTGTTACATTGTACACGCCAAAATAACTTAACAGATCTTTTAAGGTATCTACCAGCGAATGTGCCTTTGGTGCAAGCCAAACCCGAACTGAACCCAGGAAGTTCATTGGACTTACCCACCGAAGTGCACCTAGAGACCCAGACGGGCCGCCAGCGCCTAGATTCGTGGTACAGCGCCGCCTCCAGACGCAGCGCCTACTTCTCTGCGACCGGCAGCTCCTACCAATCGACGACGGACAGCGGGGGCGGCGGTGACAACCCCGGCGGCGACCCCGACAAACCCCGAATGTACGGCCCCGGCAGCCAGCTGCCCTGCCTCACGCAGCCTCTGCCGGCGACGTGGAAGTGCATGGAGGGCCGGTTCGTGATGGTGCACGCTTCCTACCAGACTCATCTCGGGGAGGACTGCCTCTTCGCCCCCGACGCCAAACTCAACGACGGGACGATATGGCTGCTGATCGTCCACGGGGGCACCACGCGCACGCAGCTGCTGCATTTCTTGTTGGGGCTGAGCACTGGGGCTCACGCAGCTATGGTTACCCAGGTATTAATACAAAAATTTGTCTAGCAAGCCTTGAAATTTAACTGTCAAATAAATTTCATGGCCACCTTAAACTTTTCAAAATATGTCTTTTTATCTGCGCCAAACAATTAGGAATTTTGAACAAGCGATTTTTTTTTTGAAATTTTAAAAATAGAAGCATTAGGTAACAAACAGGTTTTTTTTTTCTCTTTGTTCCAGTTAAGAATTTTAATAAATTTGGCAATATCTGAAACAATTCACATATCGTCATCACATCACTTCATTTATATTGAATTCGAGATATCGCTCGAGTTTAAAAATTTTTATCTGGAAGAAAAATATTGTTACTAAGTATCGTCTCCTTTCAGAGATAATTGTATTTTAGATCATGTTCTATAACATCAATTCAAAATACGTTTTATGTAGATTAAAATAAATTTGAAGACATTAGTTACATTGTTGTGACCATGTTACTTTTAAGAAAAGTACTAAAATTGTTCCAAATACAAAAAGACTACTAGGAATTTTTTCCAAAAGTAGTTGTCTAAATATTCTGAAAAAATTCAGGGATACATATTCCGACGTGCTGATTCGAAAAATATAGCATGTTTATGGTCACGGACTAACATTTTCGAAAGAATTGGTACGAAATGCGAATTTTTGAAAATATTTCAAGGGACGATTCTAGAAAAACGGTTGCACTTATCAAAGAAACGATGCCGGAAATGACTTTTGGAGCTCTAAATCTACAAGAAAATGTATTTAGTTAAGTTTCGAAAATGTCAAAAATTGGCCAAAATTTGAAGAAGGGGGGACCATTGAAAAAATTTCACTTTAAAAAAAAATTGTCTAGAAATTGCGAAGAAGTTCAGGGACGTGGATCTCGACATGCTGATTCCAAAAATATAGCGTATTGATGATCTCGAAAGAATCGGTACGAAATGCGAATTTTTGAAAATTTCAAAAAACTTCGATATTTCAACGATCGATTCCGGAAAAACGGTTGCAATTATCAAAGAAACGAGGCCCGAAGTGAGTTTTAGAGCTCGAAATCTACAAGAAAATGTGTTTAGTTAAGTTTCGAAAATGTCAAAAATTGGCCGAAATTTGAAGACCATTGAAAACATTTCCCAATTAAAAAAAGTTGTCCAAAAATTGTGGAAAAATTAAGGGACGTAGATCTCGACATGCTGATTCCAAAATTATAGCAAGTTGATGGTCACGGAGCAACATTTTCGAAAAAATCGGTAGGAAATGCGAGTTTTTGAAAATTTCTAAAAATTTCGATACTTCAACGGTCGATTCCGGAAAAGTTATCAAAGAAACGAGGCCCGAAGTGAGTTCTAGAGCTCGAAATCTACAAGAAAGTGTGTTTAGTTAAGTTTCGAAAATGTCAAAATTTGGCTAAATTTGAAGAAGGAGGGACCATTGAAAAAATTTCACTTTTAAAAAAGTTGTCTAAAAATTGCGAAAAAATTCAGGGACGTAGGTCTCAACATGCTGATTCCAAGAATATAGCATGTTGATGGTAACGGAGCAATATTTTCGAAAAATTCGGTCTGAAATTCTAATTTTTCGAAATTTTTAAAAATTGCGATATTTTATTCGACGATTCTGCAAAAACAGTTTAAGTAATCGAAGAAATGAAGCCAAAAGTGACTTCTGCGGCCTAAAATCTACACGAAAATGTATTTAGTTAAATTTCGAAAATCGTGGAGAATGGGTCGAAAAAAAAATCTGATACGAATACATAATGGAAAATTTAATTTTTACAAAAGTCATCTAAAAATTCTGAAAAAATTCAGGGATATTGAACCCAACGTGTTGATTACAAAAAGAATTTTTTTTTCGAATGTATATATTATCCATTGTTGCTTAAAAATACTTTATTTCTGTTTAAAAAAATTAAGGTTTATTTCTTGAAGTTTGTTGTTCAATCCCCTTTCAGATTTTTGGGAAATTCGCTGATCCGACCAAATCGCTAATCTGAACACACCTTTTCCCCAATTAATTCCGATTATCGAGGTTCTACTGTATTTCAAAAACAAAACACTACGCCGGTCCAGGATTCTTTTAAATTCTTCAAACCAGCAAGAGTTTTTCAAACTTTGGCAAAAATAAAACATCCCCGATTCTTTAAAATTTTTTCAAAAACAAAACACCGAAAGGCCCCCCAAGGTCGTTGCAAATAAAAAAAGACACTAATTTGTTTCGAAAAGAAAAAAACAAAGAGCTCCAAAGATTCTTTTAAACCAGATAATGAAGAAGAAAATGAAATTTGATTGATATTAGGGGCAATTCTCTAGAAACTTAGGGGGAGATTCTCGAAACTCGATAAGGCCTTGCAAGGATCTGCAAATTCAAAACCATAGCAACATGTATTGTTGTTGCATTGTATTTGCAGTTTCGATAGCGATTTGCAACTTATCGGAGTTTCCAGAATCTACCCCTTATCAAATTTAGGAATTTAACTTGTTACTATGGAAATTTGCAATTTTCCATAGTAACAAGTTAAATTCCTAAATTTGATTTTTTCCCTAATGTGTCTCCTTAAACCAGAGGAATGGACTGATTTATACAGCAAAACGGCCCGAAAATTATTTTGGGTGAGGAGCTGTTCTTTGAAAAATTACAAAATTAGATTTTGCGATAGTCTCTATAAAGTAAAAACCAGCGGCATAAATAAGACTCCCGCACCCCCTGCGCCGTGGGGGCCCAAATTGCACGAGTACGGACAACGTAAAATATATTTAAAGCAGATAAATCAAAGGGGAAAAAACGGCCTCTCAGTAATAATAATAAGCTTTAATTTCAAGTGCCTGTTTATACATCTGAACAATGTCACGCAGAAATTTGTTCGATTTGAATGAGTTTGTCGCCTTAAAATAGGGGACTAAAATTATTAATTAAGCCACAATCTAAAATAATATTCTGAAAGGTTCTAGGGTCCTCAAGATTCTTTCAAATTTACTATATACTTAAAAATCGATAAATAACTGATTGCAGCCTGTGTTACAAGCTCCAGTAATAATTATTTAAATTAAGATGACGTCATCAGTTTTTTATAGGAGATAAATAAATAAAATTCTATATTCACTATGCAATTTAATCTTCCACTAAAAATTTAAAATCACTGATTTCTTAGGTGCGTCGTAAATTTTTATTGTGGTAACCATACATTTTTTAAGATAATGACTCCATGTTAAAATAGAATAAAAATTGATTATTAAATTACAGAGAGAATACGTTGCACTACAGGTTTATAGTAAATTTTATTATAATGTTTTGTGGAGATAAGTGTTATCTTTCGATACTAATAACAACGATACTTATTAGATAATAGATAAGATTTTTGACTTTGTGGTTAATTGTTAATCACTTTGTCTAACTGTAAAATAAAAAGATACAGTCGAACCTCGATAACTCGAAGAATTTTTGTGTCAGTAGCATTTGGGGTATAAAATCCTCATAAAATTATTTAGACAACTCGTCTTGCAGATAAATGATAAATTTTTTATTCTTCTTCGTTATGTGCTGGAATCCTATGGATACACATGGAACAAAAGTTTTGTTGAAAAAAAACTGATTATTTTCTTCTAATTTTCAATATATTTACCAACTCAATTTTTGTGGCTGGTGACAGTTTGCCTATTCAGGTCCGACTGTATTATTAAAACACAAACGGAAATCTTGGGGCATATTTTTAATAAATATTTGTTCAATAATTTTTTGAGATGACATCAATTTAGGACGGCGGCGTGAAAAAATTAAACATACTTCAAAATGACCTTACTGCACTTTCTTGGTTTACGCTCTTGAAATAAAACTACAGTCTCCTGCTTTATTGATTGTTGTGAGTCATAGACCGACATTAGCGTAATCACTTCTGATGATCGGAAATGGCAGAAACGCATTTCTTTGCTTCCAAGGAGAGCTAATATTCTGATTTACATCATCAAATGGGTCTTTCATTATCGCTGTTCAAGTACATACAACCATGTACGTATATACACAGAATTTGTCCCACTTTCTGCTACTCTTCTATTGATTAATTTTATAATTATTAAGTTATATTGAAATTCGGACCTTATTTTTCTAAGAATGTGGAGAAAGCATCAGCTGGATGAACAACAAAATGTTATTAAAATTGTAAAAATATTTATTAATTTAAGAAATGTACCGTTTCGTTTCAGGGAGGGCCTATCGAGCTGATCGCCGTGAACGCCTTCCGGATAGAGCCGGACATGCGCGAACAGGGGTACATTACAGTCGACGGAGAGCACGTAGAGTACGGGCCCATTCAGGCCGAGATTTTCCCCGAGTTGGCCCGGGTGATGGTTCCCTGATCAGAACATTCCATGGGCACTAATAGTAAGAATAAATCTAAGGTTGTGATTTTGTCTACTTTAGAGCCACTACTTATAAGGCTTGACAGCATTTAGAGCCGCGTAGAGTACAGGCTCCAAACACCTGGAGTAGATATCGTGTCAAATTTTGCCAGCTAAGTCTTGCTTTTTTTGTTACAAATGAGATTAGTGTGGTGCTATGTAAGTAACTGTGCTCCAATTTATATCTTCCGACTTAAGCCATATCCACCAAAAGTTCACCAATCAAATTGGGCGCATAGCAACTATTTCAGGAACTTGTAAACAATAGGGCAATCATTTTTTAGTTGCAATAAACAGTGATATGAACACCACTACGTTAAAAAAGTAAATAGTGATGATTTTTACCGACGAAAATGTTGAATAACGATGTGTAGCTCTCATAAATTTTAAATACTGTTAAAGTGTCAGAAAGTAAATATTTTTCCTAGGATTTGAAAAAAAACTAGATTTTGTCTAGGTGATAGTTGTATATATATCGTAATTGAAAATCTTAGTCAATTTATTTTTTAACAAATTCACGGCGTAATATGGGTGTCACTGTTTTGTGGGTATATGTGCATTCAAGGAGCTGTTTGTTTACAAAATTATTTTAAGCATCTAAAGGAATTGGACTGTTTTTAGTTTTTGGAGAAAATTTCTGAACATATCAATACATGATGCCATCGCCCATTCAAGACTTTTGCATAAGCTGTTTAAGATTATTGTTTTAAGACATTTTTATAATAATTTGTAATATTACATTTTAGCGGGATATTTCACTTGGAAACACAATCAATTTTATCAGAATTACGTCTGTTAATCATCAAATCGTATTAGCATTTAGCAGTAATATTAGTTTTTAAATACCATAAAACAGTTTAATTATTTTGTAAAGCAATCTTAAAACCCATTCCAACTCGATATAGCTAGGTGTCAAATGTTGTTGTTAAATAGCTTAATGATTGTTTATGTTCGTTCGCAATAAATAAATAAATAGTTTTACTGTAATTTAAGATTGTAATTGACGTTTTGAGAAAATTCTCTAACATAATTTTCTTTGAAAATATACATTTTTGTCAGCGTTGTGTTAAAATTCGTCTCACTCAGTAGATAGATCTTAGGGTGCAATAGATATTAACGCTACAGTTAGAGCAAAATAAACTACGAAATAATTGTTTGTACAAACATTTCAATAGATATATTTTTGTTGTTTTATATGTGGTATAATGGAATATCAGGCTAGATGTGATACTGCAAACTTTTATCTATGAAGTCCTTGACCACGGCAGCCTTTTAAATTATACGAAATTCTCCAGGAAATTTTGATTATTCTCCAATTACTAATAGTTCCTTGTTTACTTAACAATAATTTTTTGAATGAACTGCTCAATTAACGAAATATTTTGGGGTTTTCGAGACGCACGCAAAAAACGTTGGCGTGCAGGTTTAATTTATTTACATTATAACTGAGAGCCCTGTTGTTATAAATTAAATTGTTGTAGAGTAGTGAAACTACTTAAAGCTAGTTCAGTTGTGCAAAGCACAAAAATGCTCATGTTGTAGGCAATAATCCTGCATCATTTTAACATGTGAGATTAATTATGATGTAATTAAATTACTGTAGGTGAAGGCTGTGAATTGTTACCATAAAGTCTAATTTCTGTTACAAAAATCTTCACCATATTTATTTATTTGTACACTTGTTTGTTTGCTCAAATTATCGTACAATGTAAAAATGTTACATCATAGTATTAAAACTTATTTCTGTGATTATAAATTGTAAAGCAATATTTAAATAAATTAAAAGTGGGTTACTCTAATATTTTAATCCCTTCCAGTTCTTTAAGTAGTTTAGACATTTGATTATCTACACTTTCTGGAGTTTCTGCATTCAATGAAAGCTTTCTCATTAGTTCATCCACGTCAGTAGTAGCCGACGCTTGTAAAACCTCTTTTAAGATCTCCACAATCTACAAAGCAACAAATGCATCATTGTATTACAATTTAGTTCATGCATTTACAGATTCCAGTTCGGAGCGAACTTGGATCGTCTCTATCAATCCTTCCCTCCAGCTGCGCTGCAGTAATTGCAGCTTGCCTTGGGCTAGTTGCAACGGATTTTTACCACGCACATCCAGCTGTCTCACATCCGCGCCTGCTTTTAAAAGCAGCGAAATAATCGCAAAATTGTGTATACAAGCTGCCAAATGAAGTGGGGTGTTATAAAGTCGGTCTCTCCGATTGGGGTCAGCGCCGCTTTCCAGCAACAACTTTACAACTTCTATGTGCCCCCTACTAGTAGCTATATGCAAGGCACTTCTGCCCATCATGTCAGTACAGTCCGGGCTTGCCCCCAGCAATATCTGTTCCTTTATGCCTTCTGTATTATTACTATGTGCATAGAAAATTACTTTACAGTCCCTTTTGAAGATCATGTTGTATCTCAATCCAGCGAGCTGGTTTTTCGTCAACCCTTTTCCGTCCGATCGTTTGAATGTCATATTGATTTCATGGAGATGTTTCTCAAATAATGGAGTAGTACTAGCAGTCTTGTGTGAAAAGTTCGAAGGCATCGCGGTGGATTTAGCACTTCAAAATCGGGGAAAATGGGAATGTAGCAAACGCTGTCAGCATTAAATATCACGCATCAATTCGTTCAGAGTTTGGAGAAAGTTTACAAAAACAATATTGATATTTGTTTTTGTGCACTACGTCACTGTGGCACTTTTGTGTCAGTAACTTGTGACAATGACAGTCAGGGGGGCATGCTAGTCACCAAAAGTCCCTGGAGGGCAAGGACTTGGTGAATTAGGTTTTTCTAAACAAAAGTAAATAAAATCACTACACCTTATTAAAAATGATTATATTTTACTGGTTATGCACGTTATTTTTTTGTAAATTTAAATTATCATTTTGTTTATCACGTGACTACGAACAACAATCGAGGACTTTTAGTGTGGAAGGATTGGTATTACGATTACGAATGACATTAACAGCTGAAAATGACATTGACAATTTGACAACCGGGTTTTTCTTTAGTTTAATTTTTTTTTGGTTGTATTTTGGATAAAATTGAATGGGGAAGATTATAAATTGATAATTTTATAGTCACCAAGTGCTCTTCAAAGGTATTGCATGAAAATGCTCCACTCGATGTTTATCATGCTTAAATTAATTTACAGCAAAATGACTACACCCGACGCATTTACGACGGAATTCCATAGTTTACAAGGTGTAACAGTCGCAGAAAAGAGAAAAAGTTTTTTCCACTTGCTACAAAGAAACTCGTCGCTGCACCAAAATGAAGCTTTACTGGATTTAATTACACAACAGTTAGTAGCTGAAACCCACCTTGAAAAACTATTTTATGTCGATTTTTTAATCTACTTTCGCCGCTTTAGAAAATTGTCAAACGAATTTTTATCCGGAAATGATATAGTCGTCAATAAAATCAGCAAACAAACCTGGTTTTTTGAAAGAATATTTCAAGAGAAAAACACCGACTTTGTGAATCAATTTTTGCCAAAGCTGGGTTACAACCTGCGCATCAAAATTCTGAGGAAACTATCGTTTATTTTAAATGAAGAGCAAAGTGATCAACTTTTAGACGCACTTCTCAAAAGATATGGTTTTTTTGTTGCTTCAAACGTTTTAACCAGTTGTAGCTGTGATAAAATCGAACAGATGTTGAGAAACCACCCCATCAAGTTGTGGACCAATCAACTCAAACTTCTATACAACAAGAAACCTGACTTGATTTATGTTTACTTAGATGAACAGGTGAAACATGAGGGTAATTCAGAATTTTTAAATTCTAACCCAATAATACAATTCATTGCAAGGAAAAATCCAGAAATGTGCTGCAAATTATTAGAAAAATACAAAATTCAGCACAGTAGAATAGGGAAACGATCGACCAAAAAAATTGTGCAATATAACAGAGATAGCATCATTGCTAAACCAGAATTTTATGCTAAAAATTTAAATTCGCCGCGTTTTGTCAGAAAACTGGGTAAAGACTTCGAGCAAGTCTATTTTAAACTGTTTCCAAGAGACACTAATTCCGTTTTTTCACACTGGAATGATGCATCGAGACTTCTAACTTTCTACACGAAAAAACGCCAATTTCCCTTGTTTGAAAAAACGTTCAACGAAATTTTTTATGACAATTTAGAAAGTGCATGTGCTTCTATCAATAATAATAATAACAACCATCACTACATGTTAGCAATGATCTCTGACCCTGACGAGCGTGAAAAGTGGGCAAAATTTATTGGAGAACATAACAAAAACGAACAACACTTAAAATATTTGAAGGCTGTGAATTGTATAGATGTAATCAAACCGAAAATTAACCTGTTGAGTCCGGCCACAAAAAGGGCTCAGTATGTTAAAACAATTACTGAATGTTGTTTGCTAAATCAGGATTGTGGAACTTTACTGACAGTCTGTGAATTGATGTGTGGGTATTTAAAAAATGACACTGAAGAAGTACATACAAAATTTTTAGAAAAGCTAACAAATCCAAAATATAATTATATTTTTGACCATTTAAGCGAGACGCACTGGCAATACATTAAACAAATTATAACCAAAGCGGAAAATTTTAACTCAGTGCCACTCGTTTTCAAGTACTTTGAATTCACCTGTCACCAAGAAGTTCAAAATGAAGGTGAACTCGTCAGTTTCTTCAAAACAACGAAGTGCGTTAATTGTTTGTTTGATTTTGAACGGCGGTTTAAAATGGGAAAAAGATTGCTAATGTTTCTTATTGAAAGTGCACCAGAAATACTTTATGACGACGTCACAATTGAAAAAATTGATATTCTTCTAATTCTGGAATGCAAGAAATACAATTTGAACCACTCTGACGACAAAATCAGTGTTTTTAGTTATGAAAGATTAATACAGTCGGTTAAAAATGTTCTGAGTGGTGAAGCTGAAGCTGAAAGTGATAATAACTTTGCAGCTGCAGTGGAGTGGTTAATTTGTAGTGGTCAGGGAAGTGAGGAATTCGAAAATTTGGTAAAGCGTTATTGGGATAATTTGGAGAATTTTGCCACGATAGGTCTCACCGTGTGGTTCCTTAAACATAAACCAAATTTAGTAATGGCAAAGATTAACACATTCCTTGATGTCACAATTTTTGGGAAATTTTCCTACCCGAATTTGTTCATTTTTGAGAAATTGTGCGACCCGAATTTCTCGTACAAACAAACTCAACAAATTTGGAAAAGCGCAAAGTGCTACAGTCACCTACATATGGACAAAGCGATAATTGACTTCTGTATGAGCAAACTACGTGATGACAATTTTGAGGAAAAAATTTCCCTCATTGAACCATTATCTCTAGTCATGCCCGCCAAAAATTTCGTCAAATTGGTTGAAAGTTACAAACCTTCTAAACCAACAGTGGATATGCTTAACAACGAAGAAAACAAAGCTTTCCAGTTTCAAAAAAACTTGTTAAAGTCGTTCGTGCAGGTGAACGAACCTACAGACATAGTCACAGTCTTGTTCCAATTTTTAAACGGAGACTATGTAGCTTCATGTGTTAATCCTCTACACAGTTGTCTTTACAAAATTCCTGAAGATCGCGTCAAAGCAATTTTAGACAAACTATGCAACACTGGAGCCGTTTCCGTAAAAAAACACGGATTTTACTTTGTTTGTGTGACCCAGAATGAGACTATAATCCTCCAGACTTTAAAGTCATGCTCTTTGAGCCAGTCAGTAGCAATGAGCTACCAACACTTCGTCAAAAACCCGTCCCAGTCTTCATGGGACGTTTTGAAGCACAAATTACCAAAACTGGACAATAACGACCACTTTACTTCCTTATTGCTAGTCAACAAACCCGCGCCCAAAAATTATAGAAGTAGATACTTCGAGTACGCTTTTGAAGTCTTTAGACAGAAACGCAACCGGTTTACGACCGTCCTAGTTGACAAGCTCCAAAAAGAATTCGCCGGTCAACTAACAACCAACTTCTTTACATCACTAAAGAACGACTTGTTTGATATCAAAAAGTCGGACTTCGTTTTGAGTTGTTACTTGCTGTATTGCCCAGACACGCTAAAATTCGACGTTATTTTCGATATTCTGCGAACCTTCAAACAGAAGCGTTGGTCACTGCGGTCGTCCGAAGCGAGGGAAAAGTTGAAGAATTTTGTCACGACTTTGCATAAATTGTATATGGATTGCGATAAAACCGATCTGACTCTAGTTACGACGTTTACGGAAGGTTTTATCAAAATTTTTTCCCCGGTTGAAGCTTTTGAAGAGTTCGTTCTGCTAAAAATTATGCAATTTAAAAACCAAAAGGGCGCGAATTTGGTCAACTCGGTTGTTGCTTTAAACAACGATTTAGTAAATACGTATGGGAAGCTGGTTTGCAAGATTTTTGCCGATTGTGTCAATCAAACACTGCCGAAATTTTGTTCAGATTCTGTGTCCACTTACGATTTTTACTGCTCGTTGTTGAATAGTAAGAAGAGTGTAGAAGATGTATTGTTAGTTATTAACTTGCTACCTCAAGCTCGCCCCGAGGTTAAAGAAAGCGCACTTTTGTATTATAAGACGTTGGAGTCTTTGAAGGACAATAAAGATGAAACGGTGCAGCTGCATTTACAGCTTTACTTAGAGTAGGAAAAAGGCACCAGTGTGTGTGATTAATGCACTAATTTTTATATGTACTTATTTGATATTGTTATTACTAAAAGAATATATGCTTTTTTATAAATCATATATGTAATTAATTCATCTCGAATACCCCACAAGTTAAGTATATATATACCCTAACAAACTTAAGTGCATTGTGCTCGGTTATGATTTGTTGTATATACTTTATTTGTAACACTTGATTTCAGTTTTGAAAGCTGGAGATGATTTTTACGATCTAATCACACGACTAAGTTGGCGGGATGTTTGGGTTCTCTTATCACATTGCTTATGGCTTGGATTTGTGTCATATTACAATTATATTATTTTTCAAAATGGGCGCGAAGGTCAAGGACACGCAAAACTCAAAAATTTACTCTTAACTGTGTATGTTAGTATTTTTTTACACCTCCTTATTTTACTTTATCGACAATGCAATAGTGACTGATCTGTCAGTTGAGACGTCAAGAACCGTATTAAATTTGAATCGTTTCTATGAGCGCGTTCTATCGCAATATTTATGATAGATTATGTTCTTACGAAGTGGAGAAGTTAAAAGAACAACTTAAAAGCACCCAGCAGAGATCCTAAAAGAACAGATTTATAAATATGTCTAGGGTAAATGCTATGGCAGTGACGAGAGCAAGAGGAATTATCCACCTATTTTTCAATATTCCTACCACTGTCAGTATTTTCCAATTGAACTGGCGTGGGAACAGTGTAAACTATATTACAATAAATATATTCGGGAAGACGGTGGCGCTATTGGTGTTGTACAGTCCTTATGGCTTGAGGCTCTTGCTACAGTAGGTGCAGACAAATGGCAAAATATTATTAGACATTGTGAACGGCTGATCATGGATGATTGGAAGCGTTTAATGGGGTAATGCACCATATGAAGACATACCACCAATCATAATTTCTCTCGATTCTGATTCTGATTCTGAATCAGAATGTTTTTCTAATAACTTGTCAGCTTGTCACTTTTTCATTTGGCATTTAATGTCAACAACAATCAGCATTAAGCCCTCAATGCAAACGGCTCTAAAGGCCTTGCTATGTACAGCAGCAGTGTTGAAACATGAGAGTGAAAGCAATGTAAATTCTGTGTTTTCTGTTATATAACATACTATTTAGTTACATTTTCTTTCGTTTACAATATTATAGACGAGTACAACACAAATGTACAACAAAACGTGTTGTTTACTGTAACGTCCGCGACCCTACAGTTTTGCAAGGGTTGTGATCTCCGCTAACTACACTGGTAAGTTGTCGACCTTGAAATTTGCTTAAATTTTGAAAAATAATATAATTTTGACTTCGCTCTACAAAATCTAAAATCAGCTGGGGCATTTAAATAATTAAGTTTGACCCAGTATATGATAATCAGACTTCGGCATCACGGAAATGATGCTCATTGCCGTCCGATCGCCAGCGCTATTACAGTCGTGGCCTACAGTTTCGGGAATTCTTAATAACAATTAGGGGTACTACTTTTTTTCCTCAGTTGTACAAGTTCTCCTAGATTTAAAATGCTTTAGAAATTAAAAATGTCTGTTCAACATCACAATTTTCGTGATCATTCTGATTAGATAAAACCTGAATTGGATCAAACGTTACTGAGGCTGAGACTGCACAATCGTTTTTAATATTTGTCTGATTAATTCCCCATCACTTCGGCTTTGCCCAACTCTGATGATAATGTACTAGTAGATGATTTATATACAGTGCATGAAAATAAAATTTAATATAATCTTCAACTGAAATTCGTTAATGATTTTTTTTATTTGAAGATACATGAGTATATATTCAACCGAACTACTAATTATAAATTCATATTTCTTGTTTCGTTTCCCATTTATATAGATTTATGACTGATCTAAGGTAATTTATAAAAAATATCAGTTACCTTATAGTCGAACTTTTCAGTTCCGGAAGGAAAATATGTCTAATCCAATGTTGAATCCTTTTTGATCCAATAGTATCGGCTGATTTTTTAAAATTTCTGCTCTAGTTACCCATGACTAAAGTACATTACATTATACCGGGTGTATGGAAAATGGCGGATGACGTTATAAAATTGGCAACACTGCACACACTTAATGCGTGAATATCTCCGGCTTACTTTTTGATTTCTTAGTAACGATGGTGACTGAAATCCACTTGTTACTTTTTTTTAGGACAATAACCATAACAACCAGTAGTGATTAATCGTTGTGCATTATTATTAACAAAGCAAGCTGTTATTTTTCATTAATAATAAATAAACAACAAAAAAAACATTTAATAAGACATTTATAAATTATAAACAAAAACAAAACCAACAAAGCCTATAAGTAAGCTCGTAATGTTTCCAAATTTTGATCATTTTTTGTAAAAATTTGTCATGTCTTGTTAAGATAAAACTGATTTTGGCAATGATATACCCTCTAAGCTAAGAGAGGGCGGGTGGGCGGGGTTAGTAGCTGCTAAGATGAAACATATTTTGGTAAATCACATACAATCTAAGAAAAGCGAGGGTGGGTGCTAGTAACTGCTAAGATAAGACTGATTTTGGCAAATGACGTACCCTCTAAGAAAAGAGAGGATGAGTGGGCGGGGCTAGTATGTACCTGCTAGGATAAGACTAATTTTAGCAAATGACGTATCCTCTAAGAAATGTAATGAAATTATTATAAGAAAAGACGCTAGAGGCTCCAAAGCATTTTCAAATCCTTTCCAAACAGGAATACCTGGAACCTCAAAATTTAATTTTTGCTTTAAATTTTTCAAAAAAAATCTCAAAACAGGTGAGATCAGAATTTTCCAAAAATAGAACACTAAAGTCCCCCACAATTATTTTAAATAATTAAAAAAAAAATCTCCATGAGCTCCCGAAATAATACACCATGGGTACCCAAGAGTCTCCCGAATAAAAAAAAAACTCTGTGGCACTCAAGACTTTCGCGAATTAACTTTAATCCGCGTTCTATAAACCGGATCTAACGGACATAAATTAACTGCGAACATTTTAAACGTAGGGTTTTGAAAACTATTACAATTTTTTATACGTCAAACATTTGAAGGTAAGCAAAGAAAAATGTTGCTGTGGGAATCGAACCCAACGTCTCCCACTTGCCGGGCGGGTGCCTTGACCACTAGACCGCTTATCTTCCTCCGCTTATCAACATGTTATTGTGTCGTCACACATTTTTAACTGCTTACTAGATTTTTTTTGTATTGTAAGATCGCTTTAAAAGCATAGTAATAAAATTTTATGGTAAAATTAGGATTATTTGGTTGACAATGTCGAATCGGCTTTTCGCATTAGGTTACTTGTAAAGTTATAAGCCTTGTCGCGTACCTACAGAATTTCCTGGTTTGCCCCAACCAGACTATCTTTGGCGATCGTACCTATACATATAATGTATGGTTTTAGAGTTTTGCGAGTTGTTTTCTTTGACTAAAGTTGTAAAATATTAATAGTATGTATTTAAAGTGATCTTAGCATACCTTCGCTTTATATCAGGCAAACATTGTTGTCAAATGGAATTTTACCAAATTATTACAAATAAAACAACACAAGATATCTTTGTACATTGTGTGGTGACCGAGTTTGAATCAAAAGTTCACGCTGAAACAAAATTAACAGCGGCGCGAATTCATATTTGAATAATTCGAATTAAAAAAAAAAATATGTCAAAAGTAATCGGCAACCATGTGCACGTTAGCGCTTTTTGGGTACTGGATAGTTCTGCTTGGAATTTTTAGTTAGAGGGTTGGTAGAAGAAGGCGGTTTGGTAGCAAAAAGATGGCTGCTTGGTGGAGGGATGGTGAAAGCGTCATTGTTGGTTTGGTTCTGTGTATTAGGTAAGTTTAGTAGCTGATTCTTGCGACTTTCGAAGCGGAAAAATGTGAATTTTCGACCGTCATGTCAGTACAGTCCGGGCTTGCCCCCAGCAATATCTGTTCCTTTATACCTTCTGTATTGTTGCTATGCGCATAAAAATTACTTTACAGTCCCTTTTGAAGATCATGTTGTATCTCAATCCAGCGAGCTGGTTTTTCGTCAACCCTTTTCCGTCCGATCGTTTGAATGTCATATTGATTTCATGGAGATGTTTCTCAAATAATGGAGTAGTACTAGCAGTCTTGTGTGAAAGGTTCGAAGGCATCGCGGTGGATTTAGCACTTCAAAATCGGGGAAAATGGGAATGTAGCAAACGCCGTCAGCATTAAATATCACGCATCAATTCGTTCAGAGTTTGGTGAAAATTTACAAAAACAATATTGATATTTGTTTTTGTGCACTACGTCACTATGGCACTTTCGTGTCAGTAACTTGTGACAATGACAGTCAGGGGGGCATGCTAGAGTCACCAAAAGTCCCAGGAGGACACGGACTTTGGTGAATTAGGCTTTTCTAAACAAAAGTAAATAAAATCGCTACACCTTATTAAAAATGATTAATATTTTACTGGTTATACACGTTATTTTTTCGTTAATTTAAATTATCATTTTGTTTATCACGTGACTACGAAATTCTGTGCTACGAACAACAATCGAGGACTTTTAGTGTGGAAGGATTGGTATTACGATTACGAATGACATTAACAGCTGAAAATGACATTGACAATTTGACAACCGGATTTTTTATGGTTGTATTTTGGATAAAATTGAATGGGGAAGATTATAAATTAATAATTTTAGAAAGTCACCAAGTGCACTTCAAAGGTATTACATGAAAATCCTTCATTCGATGTTTATCATGCTTAAATTAATTTACAGCAAAATGACTACACCCGATGCATTTACGACGGAATTCCATAATTTACAAGGTGTAACAGTCGCAGAAAAGAGAAAAAGTTTTTTCCTCTTGCTGCAAAGAAACACGTCGCTGCACCAAAATGAAGCTTTACTGGATTTAATTACACAACAGTTAGTAGCTGAAACCCACCTGGAAAAACTCTTTTATGTCGATTTTTTAATCTACTTTCGCCGCTTTAGAGAATTGTCAAACGAATTTTTATCCGGAAATGATATAGTCGTCAATAAAATCAGCAAACAAACCTGGTTTTTTGAAAGAATATTTCAAGAGAAAAACACCGACTTTGTGAATCAATTTTTACCAACGCTGGGTTACAACCTGCGCATCAAAATTCTGAGGAAACTATCGTTTATTTTAAATGAAGAGCAAAGTGATCAACTTTTAGACGCACTTCTCAAAAGATATGGTTTTTTTGTTGCTTCAAATGTTTTAACCAGTTGTAGCTGTGATAAAATCGAACAGATGTTGAGAAACCACCCCATCAAGTTGTGGACCAATCAACTCAAACTTCTATACAACAAGAAACCTGACTTGATTTATGTTTACTTAGATGAACGGGTGAAACATGAGGGTAATTCAGAATTTTTAAATTCGAACCCAATAATACAATTCATTGCAAGGAAAAATCCAGAAATGTGCTGCAAATTACTAGAAAAATACAAAATTCAGTATTGTAGAATTGGGAAACGATCAACCAAAAAAATTGTGCAATATAACAGAGACAACATCATTGCTAAACCAGAATTTTTTGCTAAAAATTTAAATTCAGCGCGTTTTGTCAGAAAACTGGGTAAAGACTTTGAGCAAGTCTATTTTAAACTGTTTCCAAGAGACACTAATTCCGTTTTTTCACGTTGGAATGATGCAGCGAGACTTCTAACTTTCTACACGAAAAAACGCCAATTTCCCTTGTTTGAAAAAACGTTCAACGAAATTTTTTATGACAATTTAGAAAGTACATGTGCTTCTATTAATAATAATAATAATAACAACAACCATCACTACATGTTAGCAATGATCTCTGACCCCGACGAACGTGAAAAGTGGGCAAAATTTATGGGAGAACATGACAAAAACGAACAACACTTAAAATATTTGAAGGCTGTGAATTGTATAAATGTAATCAAACCAAAAATTAACCTGTTGAGTCCAGCCACAAAAAGGGCTCAGTATGTTAAAACAATAACTGAATGTTGTTTGCTAAATCAGGATTGTGGAACTTTACTGACAGTCTGTGAATTGCTGTGTGGGTATTTAAAAAATGACACTGAAGAGGTACATACAAAATTTTTAGAAAAGCTAACAAATCCAAAATATAATTATATTTTTGACCATTTAAGCGAGACGCACTGGCAATACATCAAACAAATTATAACCAAAGCGGAGAATTTTAACTCAGGGCCACTCGCTTTCAAGTACTTTGAATTCACCTGTCACCAAGAAGTTCAAAGTGAAGGTGAACTCGTCAGTTTCTTCAAAACAACGAAGTGCGTTAATTGTTTGTCTGATTTTCCACGGCGGTTTCAAATGGGAAAAAGATTGCTAATGTTTCTTATTAAAAGTGCACCAGAAATACTTTATGACGACGTCACAATTGAAAAAATTGATATTCTTCTAATTCTGGAATGCAGGAAATACAATTTGAAGCACTCTGACGACAAAATCAGTATTTTTAGTTATGAAAGACTAATACAGTCGGTTAAAAATGGTCTGAGTGGTGAAGCTGAAGTTGAAAGTAATAACTTTGCAGCTGCAGTGGAGTGGTTAATTTGTAGTGGTCATGGAAGTGAAGAATTCGAAAATTTGGTAAAGCTTTATTGGGATAATTTGGAGAATTTTGCCACGATAGGTCTCACCGTGTGGTTCCTTAAACATAAACCAGATTTAGTAATGGCAAAGATTAACACATTCCTTGATGTCGCAATTTTTGGGAAATTTTGCTATCCGAATTTCTCAATTTTTGGGAAATTTTGGTACCCGACCTTCTCGTACAAACAAACTCCACAAATTTGGAAAAGCGCAAAGTGCTACAGTCACCTACATATGGACAAAGCGATAATTGACTTCTGTATGAGTAAACTACGTGATGACAATTTAGAGGAAAAAAATTCTCTCATTGAACCATTATCTCTAGTCATGCCAGCCAAAAATTTCGTCAAATTGGTTGAAAGTTACAAACCTTCTAAACCAACAGTGGATATGCTTAACAACGAAGAAAACAAAGCTTTCCAGTTTCAAAGAAACTTGTTAAAGTCGTTCGTGCAGGTGAACGAACCTGCAGACATAGTCACAATCTTGTTCCAATTTTTAAATGGAGACTATGTAGCTTCATGTGTTAGTCCTCTACACAGTTGTCTGTACAAAATTCCTGAAGATCGCGTCAAAGCAATTTTAGACAAACTATGCGCCACTGGAGCCGTTTCAGTAAAAAAACACGGATTTTACTTCGTTTGTGTGACCCAGAATGAGACTATAATCCTCCAGACTTTAAAGTCGTGCTCTTTGAGCCAGTCAGTAGCAATGAGCTACCAACACTTCGTCAAAAACCCGTCACAGTCTTCATGGGACGTTTTCAAGCACAAATTACCAAAACTGGACAATAACGACCACTTTACTTCCTTATTGCTAGTCAACAAACCCGCGCCCAAAAACTATAGAACTAGATACTTCGAGTACGCTTTTGAAGTCTTTAGACAGAAACGCAACCGGTTTACGACCGTCCTAGTTGACAAGCTCCAAAAAGAATTCGCCGGTCAACTAACAACCAACTTCTTTACATCACTAAAGAACGACTTGTTTGATATCAAAAAGTCGGACTTCGTTTTGAGTTGTTACTTGCTGTATTGCCCAGACACGCTAAAATTCGACGTTATTTTCGATATTCTGCGAACCTTCAAACAGAAGCGTTGGTCACTGCGGTCGTCCGAAGCGAGGGAAAAGTTGAAGAATTTTGTCACGACTTTGCACAAATTGTATATGGATTGCGATAAAACCGATCTGACTCTAGTTACGACGTTTACGGAAGGTTTTATCAAAATTTTTTCCCCGGGTGAAGCTTTTGAAGAGTTCGTTCTGCTAAAAATTATGCAATTTAAAAACCAAAAGGGCGCGAATTTGGTCAGCTCGGTTGTTGCTTTAAACAACGATTTCGTAAATACGTATGGGAAGCTGGTTTGCAAGATTTTTGCCGATTGTGTCAATCAAACACTGCCGAAATTTTGTTCAGATTCTGTGTCCACTTACGATTTTTACTGCTCGTTGTTGAACAGTAAGAAGAGTGTAGAAGATGTATTGTTAGTTATTAACTTGCTACCTCAAGCTCGCCCCCAGCTTAAAGAAAGCGCACTTTTGTATTATAAGACGTTGGATCCTTTGAAGGACAATAAAGATGAAACGGTGCAGCTGCATTTACAGCTTTACTTAGAGTAGCAAAAAGGCAGCAGTGTGTGTGATTAATGCACTAATTTTTATATGTACTTATTTGATATTGTTATTACTAAAAGAATATATGCTTTTGTTAAATCATATAATTAATTCATTTCGAATACCGAAGTTAAGTATTCTACATATACCCTAAGAAACTTAAGTGCATTATGCTCGGTTATGATTTGTTGTATATACTTTATTTGTAACACTTGATTTCAGTTTTGAAAGCTGGAGATGATTTTTGCAACAGGTTTCCAAATTTTACCTGTCGAGAACGGAGGAATAATAAACAGTGTTTCCTCTTGTAGGAGCGTTTTTCCAACCTTGGGGTTCACAACCTTGCATTTGAACGCATTTCGCAAAAAAAACAATGTACGAATCACGTGACTAAGTGTGGCTGGGGCATTTAAATAATTAAGTGTAACCCAGTATATGAAAGCAGACTTCGGCATCGCGGAAATGATGCTCATTGCCGTCCGATCGCCAGCGCTATTGCAGTCGTGGCCTACAACTTCGGGAATTCTTAATAACAATTAGGAGTACTACTTTTTCTCGGTTTTCCTCAGTTATACAAGTTCTTCTAGATGTTAAAATGCTTTAGAAATTAAAAATGACTGTTCAACATCACAATTTTCGTGATCATTCTGATTAGATAAAACCTGAATTGGATCAAACGTCACTGAGGCTGAGACTGCAGAGTTGTTTTTAATATTTGTCTGATTAATTCCCCATCACTTCGGCTTTGCCCAACTCTGATGATAATGTATTTAAAGTGATCTTAGCATACCTTCGCTTTATATCAGGCAAACATTGTTGTCAAATGAAATTTTACCAAATTATTACAAATAAAACAACACAAGATATCTTTGTACATTGTGTGGTGACCGAGTTTGAATCAAAAGTTCACGCTGAAACAAAATTAACAGCGGCGCGAAATCATATTTGAATAATTCGAATTAAAAAAAAATTCTGTCAAAAATAATTGGCAACCATGTGCACGTTAGCGCTTTTTGGGTAGTGGATAGTTCTGCTTGGAATTTTTAGTTAGAGGGTTGGTAGAAGAGGGCGGTTTGGTAGCAAAAAGATGGCTGCTTGGTGGAGGGATGGTGAAAGCGTCATTGTTGGCTTGGTTCTGTGTATTAGGTAAGTTTAGTAGCTGATTCTTGCGACTTTCGAAGCGGAAAAATGTGAATTTTCGACCGACGCTAACACCTGTAAATTTAATTCATTGTTTGTAAATTCACAGTTCATCTTAGGAGTTTAATCGTTAACTGGTTCTAACGCAATTTAACAGATTAGATTTGTTTAGATAAATCACTCACTAGGAGATTTCATGAAATTCACTTGGTCCGGATAACACCCTTTGTTTACAAAGTTACGAATAACGTTTCTGGATGCTAATACTTTATATAGTGTTATATTATAACACTTCTTAATTCTTCACACAAGATTGCTAATAGTTCATTTATGGCAGTTAAATTAACCTAACGTTGCCCCACTGTGGAAAAAGACCGTAGAAAAGTGTAGCAGAATTCAAAATATAATATCGTGGACTAACGGGGGGATTAAAGATTTCTCTTTTGCAAATTACATCACCGAGGAGTTTTCCTCTCAACGCCTGATGCATTTTGTATTTGTTTATCATATGTTTTGTTTGGGGTAAACAGTCCACGATATAAACCTTCAAAACAAATTGTTTTAAGAAACCAATCGCTTGAATCGTGGCATAATGATAGATAGATAGATATATAGTATATTTGTGTTAGAATACAAGTATTTACACACGTCAAAATAAAATTACATTCATCGTTACATTTTTCTTATAATAAAATAAAGAATTAATTTGTTATATATATGTATATATGTAATACATAAATACATAAAACATAAAATAAAATTATCTACTTAAATATTAAATTAAATTAAATTACACAGCTTCTGCAACTAAATCACTAAAATTATTTCTTAAAAATTCATCACAATTGTAGAAAGTTTTTTCTACGAGATATTTTTTTATTTTATGTAAAAAGATTTTTGGTGGAAGTTTTTTAATTAATGTGGGAATAATATTATAATATTTAATAGCTAAATAATGCGTTCCATCTCTAGTTTTAGTCAACCTTAATGTATTACATGCAACCATCTCCGTTCTTGTATAATATTGATGACTTTCATTAAGTAACGGGAAGGATGTAAGATTAGTGACAATATATTCCAAACATTTATAAATAAATAAAGAGGGTAATGTGATAATATTCAGTTCCCTAAAATACTGCCTGCAGTCGTCTCTATATCCAATGTTAGCTATGACTCTGACAGCTCTTCGTTGTAGTTTAAACACACTTTGAAGTGAGGACGAGTGACCCCAAACCAAGATACCATACTGAAGATGAGAATGTATTAGAGCAAAATATACTGTTCTAAGAAAAGTTTGTGAGAGACTGTTAGACATGAATCTTAAAAAATATATACCTTTGGAAATTTTATTTGAGACTTGTTCTCCATGTTTGTGCCAGTTCAATTGACAATCGATGTGTAAACCAAGAAATTTTGTAACGGCTGAATAGGTATTGTCTAAAACAGTGTGTTTTAAGGTGAATAACATCTGGACAGTTTTGTCTTTATTTAAGGACAATCTGTTGATTACAAACCATTCTTCAGCTAAAGTATTAAGTTGCTTCTTTTTGGTAGTAAGGTTATCTAAAGATAAATCTGATGTACTTATATAGTTGTATCATCAGCATACAAAATTATGTCAGTCTGATTAAGAAGGTTTGGTAGATCATTTATATATAGTAAGAAAAGTACCGGTCCCAATATAGACCCTTGAGGCACACCATATTCAACATTCAATTTGCTTGATAGTTTTCCATCTATTTTAACACATTGACTTCGGGTACTAAGATAAGACAATAGTAGCTTCGTAGCACTAGGATGAAAATTATAATAAAATAGTTTTCTTATTAGAATGTCATGGGAAACACAATCAAACGCTTTGCTGAGGTCCAAAAAAGATGTGGAGTAAAATTTTTTAGATTCAAAAGATTGAAAAACATTATTAATAAAATCTAAAATTGGTGATATGGTAGAGCGACCTTTGGAAAATCCACATTGGCACTGCGATAAGATATCATTTGCTTGTAAATAATCTAAAATTTGATTAAGCAGTAGTTTCTCTAATATCTTGGACAAAACAGGGAGAAGAGAAATAGGCCGGTAATTGTTTAATTCATCAGAGTCTCCTTTTTTATGTATAGGCACAACTAAGGCCACTTTCAAACAAGAAGGGAAGATACTTTTTTCTATACAATAATTACACAATTTCGTGATCTCAGAAATTAGTAAATTTTTTACATATTTTATTAATGGGACAGAAAAACCATATATATCTTTGGCGTTACTATTATGTAAACTATTTATAGCATCTCTTACCTGGACACAAGATATTTTCTTAGCTTTGTGATTATTGACAATGGTCCACAATGCTCTTGGCTTATTTTTATTATCAAAAACAAATTTTTCTGCTGCGTTGATTTTTGCTTTTTTAATAGATAATTTATACCGCTTTTTATACGAATCTAGGAGTGTTTTTAATTCTGTAGTACCGTGTAACTTATATGCATCTTTAATCAATTCTAAGGTTCCTCTCATTTTATATAAGTCACTAGTAAACCATTTACAATTATTAGAATTATGTCTACAAGAAACAACTGTCTTAGATGGAAAGGCTAAGTCAAAGTAGTGGCACATTGTATTTAAAAACATGGTAAATTTATTTTCTATATCAATATCCGAATTTATGAAATCCCACCTGGCTTTACTAAGTATAGTGAAGAAGATAAATTTTCCATATTGTGTTATAGGTTTTACAATTTTAATTTCTTGTTTGTCTTCTTTGCATATTTTAAGACCTATTATATTTTGTAACGATATCACTACACCAGTGTGATCGGATACATCATCCTTAAACGGCATAACTTTACAACAATCTGGTGTAATATTAGTGTAAACATTATCTAAGCGAGATAATCCTCTCGTTGGGAAATTTACTAAATGTTTCATGCCGAAACTTGTCATTAAGTCAGTTAAAACTTTAACAGTTTTATCATCCTTTTTCTCAAAATGTAGATTAAAATCGCCACCAAGTAATATATTCCTATTTTTAAAGTCTAAACAGTTAAACACTTGTGTTATTTTGTCAATGAAATTTTTAAAGTCTCCGGAAGGTGATCTATAAATGACAACAATATACAGATAAAATGCAGGGAAGTACGTACCTACCATTTCACAATCTTTTTCGACTGATAAATTCGTAACATTAGTTAAAGATCTGAAGTTTTTATTGTAATCAACGAGTTGGATAACGCCTCCATGGGAATGTTGCATTCTTGCATAAGCTGCTGCTGTTATAAATTTTTCGAAGAAGACAAATTCTGTTTCAGTGGTAGTGAGCCAGTGTTCACTTAAGCACAAAACGTCAAATTTATAAGTTTGCAACAATGCGCCCATAATATTAACTTTGTTCCTCAAACATTGTACGTTTAGAAAAAGCACCTTAAAGTTTTCTTCTTTATCAGTTGGTTGCTATGCAACGTAGTTAATTTTATTTTTGTTAATTTCCACTTGTCTTTTGTATACCTCACAGTTACAATCAAAACGAGAGTGTTCAATATTTAACTGCAAATTTAATTTCTTGTTGACTTTCACGCAGTTTATACATATGGGTTCCTGTTCACACTCTTTTTCAGAATGATCATCGTTTCCACAATTCAGACATTTCGGATGATTTTCTTTACATTTCTCAGCCATATGGTTAAAGCCACCACATTTGAAACATCTAAGAGTGTTAACATGTTCATACAGGGCGCACTCACTCCATTGTATAAAAACTGTTTTTAAGGCCATAAATTTGGAGAAAGTGTTTGGATCAACTTCAATAATGGCTAAATATTTTTTGATCATTTTCTTGCAAGTTACGAGTTTGAAAATACCCGTTATATCTTTAAGTTCGGCGTTTTGCTTAATGAGACATTCTTTTAAGTCTTCCACATTAAGATTTTGAGCAAGTCCAACAATTTTAATTTTGGGGTTTCGCAATTCTATTTTTTTTATGTGGAAATTATCACCCAGGTTAACTTTTGCTACCTCTTCCAGTTTTCTAGTTTCTTCTTGATTGTTGCATGTTACGGCGATTCCGCCGTCTTTTAAAGGTTTAATTTTCGTAATTCCAACTTCAATTTGTTCAGGTTTGATTTTCTGTTTCAGTGTTTCAATTGTAGCTGATGTCTCTTGCCTATTTTTTGGTCTTAATATAACAACGTCTTTCTCACGTTTGACTGTTTCGCTGTATGATTTTTTGGGAGGAAGACTCTGCTCCTGGTTGACTTGAATTTCGGGTATTCCCATCGAATTTTGAAGTTCAATGAACTTCCCATTTATAGTATCATTGATTTCTTTTTTCATAGATAAGAAACAATCAGAGAATTCCGCTTTCACCTGGCTGATAATGTTTTGTGGGTCATTTTTCAATTGAAGTTGTGTTAATTCTAGTTTTTTTTTTAAGTCGTCATTTTCCTTCTTAAGGGTGTTATTTGCAACTTTAAGTGTTTGGATCGCATCTTGAAAAGTTGCTTCAATTGTACTGATGTCACGGCAATGATCTTCGCATAACATGACTTTATCTGTAATTGTTGTAAATTGTTTGCCTCTATTTATGAGTTGCTGCATACAACTTTTATGATAATACTTGTCACACTTTGCACATTTAGTAAACACAACTTGAACTTTTTCTTTGCACTTTCTACACACTTTTTCGACATTTCCACCTGGATCGATGTCTCGAGCATGTTGCGATTGCGACATGGTATATGGTAAATGAAAAAAATCTTTTTGTTTGAATCGTTAATAAATATCGTTGATAAAGTGTGGCAAATATTAATCTCATGTAAATTTGTTAGCTTTTGTTAGCAATTTTCACCACATACAATATTTCTCTATCTCACAATTTTAATTTCAGTAATTTTCTTTGTTGTATAATTTAAACTGAACGTAAACTTTCAGTTTCTAACCTCACGTAATATTTTATCTTTACAAGTTTATTTCACACCAGATCTTTTGTTTTTATAAATCTTTGCTAGTTTTTTTTGTTTTGTAAATATTTTGTTGATTGATGCTTCCATCATAAAATTACCTGCTTTCCAGTCTTAATCTCAGACAAGAATTCTTTGCTATTTCATATTTCACGAGAGTGTATGGCGAATTTAAATGTTGTTTATTGCTCTTTGTTGAAACTTTGACACTTCTTCAGTTGTAGTTTAATGTCATCGTTATAGAAATTGAACATTTAAAATGTAATTGAGGTAAATAACACAATAACACTTGGCGGAAGCGGAGTGCGAGGTTCCTTTTCGAGCTATCAGATTTAGATTATTTAGAATAGGAGTTACGGACGGTCAGTGGAGGAATAAATAAATTTTGTGTCCTCCATAAATTTTCTGTTTTATTTAGCGGTACTTTTCCAACCTGGGTCCACCATTTGCATCTGAACGCACCCCGCCATTTTTCAAAACGCAATGTGGGGTTACATTTTGTACGACGATCACAGCCAAGGCAAAATTTTTTAATTTTCGCGGGCTTTTAATTCTTTTTCACATGTCAATTTAAGGCGGGATGTTTGGGTTATCACAAGGTCGATGAACAACAGTTGTCATGGGTAAAAAAATAAATTCCATAGCTGTCTAGACGACGTTTTTCACCTAACTAAGAAATATGTAAATTAGTCCACAGTGGACTTTTTTAAAACAATTACCTAAGCTAAATTTACTGAAATTGTTAAATATTAACAGTTAATTCACAACAAAAACGTATTTCTACCGTTTAATTTTCTTGACGCTTTGCAGCTCATAAAATACGAAAGTGCGAGTTTCTCGTTTCACTTACCTACTTGTTTTTGAAATTTGGAATAACTAGCAGATAGTAAACTGTGGTCCTATTATTAAATTTAATTTCTTGCTTGTACTCACTCACTGAGATCTGGTTCTCTGCAAAATTTAAAACAAATCAGTGGTTATTTAAACATAAAATTTGTATTATCTACACTGATTCTTGAGTTTTATTACAAATTTAATGTAAATGAGGCAGTTAATCATTATGCAACACATTTAACTCCAAAGTTAACTGGGGTTGCCTCTATTGACTTTATTGTAAGTTGTTTCGATTACAGCATTAATTAAAAAAATCATCGCTAAGAAAAAATAAAAAAAGGAGTGACATAGCACATTTGGTAACACAAAAGGTAAACTGACTATTAAGTATAGATATTTTAAAAACGTAATTGGGTTTATTTTCCGTATTATAGAAATAATTCAAGAGGTTATGTAAACAGTCCAAATTATTTATCCACACCATGACTCAACCGGCAGAAATTGTAGCAAATTTTGCCAACCAATTCCACAACATACAGGGTGTAACAATTGCTGAAAGAAAAAAGAATCTACGAAAACTTCTAAACAGTGCCTCTATTCTTAAAGACAACGCCCCATTACTCGACACTGTAGTAACACAGCTGCACCCTCAAACCTACTTAGAACAACGTTCCTTCATAGAATTTTTAATTTACTTTCGCAAGTACAAAGAGCTTGCAGATGAAGTATTCACAAAGGAAAATCCCATAGCAGTAAAACGAATTTTAAATCAAAAATGGTTTTTTGAACAAACACTTCTTGATTCTGGGCCAGGATTTCTTACACAGATTGTACCCACTCTCAGCTATAAATTGACGTTCAAAGTATTAAAAAAGATAGCCCCACTTCTGGAAGAAGAACAAGCTAATGTAATTTTTAGTTCATTGTTGGAGATTTATGGAATTTCATTAGCTACAATTGTACTGACATCTTGTAGTTGTGCTACAATTGAAAACAGTTTAAAAAACTATCACCTTACTTTACAACAGCGTCAGTTAAAATCGCTCTTTGATAAAAATCCGCATCTGATTTATCTTTATTTTGATGAACGAGTGAAACATGAAGAAAACCAAAACTTTCTGGATTTTAATCCTATATTTCACTACATCGCAAAAAAAGATTTAAATGTGTTTCACGATTTATGCCAGAAGTACAACTTCAAGACTAAATTGGGTAAAAGGATTACAAAAAAATTAGTTGCGCTTAAAAGAGTGGATATTTTATCTCATCCAGAACTTTATGTGAAGAATTTGCACCCTCGCTGCCTGATTAAACAACTAGGGCCCGATTTTAACGCCGTTTATCTAAAACTGTTCCCGAAAAAGATCGACGACTCGCCGAGTTCAGAGAGCTCCAGACTTTTAAAACACTACCCTCAACGAACCCAATACAATTTAATGATAACCACATATAATCAAGTTTTTGCGAAAAAACTAGAGGAGCGGCCACACTTAATCGACGAGTATTTATTAGAAATGATTCCCGATTCGCAAGAAAGGGAGAAATTGGCTAAACTAAAAGGTGGCGATGACACAAATGCGTACCTTAAGTATTGTTCTCCAGCACGCTGCCTTCAGATAGTCAAGGAACGGGTTAATTTTGCCAGATGTCCCTTCGAACGAGGCAGTTACGTTGCACTTTTAGTGGAGTCGTGTTTCATAGATAAAAACTACGACGCTCTTTTAGAAGTTGCAAAGTTTGTAACCGAACGTTTCAAAAATGACAGTCCTGACGTCCAACAGAAATTTCCCCAGATGATGTTGTGGCGATCCTGTGACTACAGCCAACTTAGTGAAGAACACTGGCACGAAATAAAAAAGATCATGGCCAGACCTGACCTGACTTTGTATAATTCCAACACCATAGAAATATTTTGTAAGTACATTGAATTTCTCACTAGGTTAAAAAAACCAATTGAGCAGGAAATTGTGGATTTTTATGGTAAGAAGGATTTTGCTGCTAATTATGTGGCATTTATCAAAGATCCACGTGTTCAGAAAAGATTTTTAACCACTTTTATTGAAATAGTTCCTAAGGTGACTACAACCAATATAGAGAGTTTAGATTGTAAATTACTGTCGGCTTGTCTGAAATACAATTTACAAAATCCTAAGGAAACAATACAGGTGCTTCAGTATCCTAGATTATTACAGTCTTTACGCAATGTTCTCTCAAAGAAAAATAAAAATGAAGAGGCAGCACTCCCTCCAGCTCTGGAAGTTTTAATATGTTCCAAAGGGACAACACAAGATCTGGAACAGTTGAGGCAAGAGTTCTGGAATAACGTTCAATTTGCCACAGCATCCCTTATGAAGTGGTTTTTGAAGTATAAACCTGAATCAGTTCAGAAGAACCTAAGTTCATTTTTGTCCTTCGCAATAAAAAATGGCGAACTTGCCAAGGATACGAAATTCTGGTCGTCGCTAAAATATTATAGTCACTTGAGTATTGATAAAGGGGCTATTCAGTTTCTCACTCGTGACTTAACGGCTTTAAAGTGCCGCCTTTTGTCGTATGTATCGTCAGAAAAAGATTTTTTGACTGTAGTTGAAACATACAAACCTGCAGAATTTAAGGTAGATGGAAACAATGCAAAATTTAATATACAGATGGCGCTTTTGAATAATATGAAGAATCTTAACTCAACCGTTGCCAGTTTGGTATTACTACTGAAGTTCTGCAATGGTGAATATATTCCGTTTTGTTTGGGTCCTTTATACAGTATTATTTTCAAAGTTCCAAAAAACCACTTAACCCCTCTATTTGATGAAATGAAGAAAACTTTGACACATCACGCTTATTATTTTATTTCGTTAATATGTAACAAAGAGGTCGTTATACAGAATTTGAGAGATTGTCAACTGGATCAGTCTGTTAAAATCAGCTTTAAGTATTTTTTAAATAATTCAAGTGAAGAAACTTGGGAACTTTTCACCACGAAGTTATCCACAGCCGCGAGTGTTGGCTCTTCTACGTTAAAACTTATTGCGACCAAGCAAGTTCCTATAAAGTACAAGACGCAACACTTTGAGAAAGTTTGGCCGATTTTTCATCAGGATAACAAATTTAAAGATTTGTTCTTCAAAAGTCTATCAAAGGAAACACTATTACGACTTCCTTACGACTTTTTGCATAGAGTGATTGAAACTGAGTTGTTTTTTGGTCTCGAAATTAACAAACCCTTCAGTGTATATCTCATTGCCTCTTCTAAGTTAGAGGAGAATATGAGGATTGTTACAAATGTACTAGAAAAGTATAAACTCTCAGCGCAGTTTTCGATTAAACGTGTGCACGACTTCATTGCGACGTTATTTACAACATACATGGAACAGTCGCTCCAGAACGACACTTTGATTGAGGCTCTTCTCTCACTCTTTCAACGTATATTCAAGATGGGGAGTATTTTTGAACTCTACGTAACCTTATCCCTCATGAAATGTAAAAATCAAGTCCCGAAGGATTTCGCAGCTTCTGTTGTTGTCCTACATAACAGTTTGATAGCAAGGTATGGCGAGACAGTTACTGAGATTTTTGGGAATGTTTTGAAAAAGCTGCTTCAAAAATTTTGCCAGAGTGATCCACTGAAGTACGAGTTTTACTACTACTTACTGGTTCACCAAAAATCTATTAGTGATGTGTTACTGGCGATTAAACTTCTACCAAGCGACGCAGAACCAGAAGATGTTGAAAGCTGTAAATATTTCGAAGATGCTGTTCATCAACTTGAAAATTTAAATGTGCTGAGTGTGCAGTTGCATCTAAATTTGTATTTCAAGCGTTTGAAAATCGTGAAGGATGTTTCCTACTATACGAGAATTCCTACTATTCATGGTATTAATACGTAGGGTTGGCTATATGTATTACTGAAGAAATTATTTTACAAAAAGTGTAGTATTGGCTTTAAATTAATATTTGTTGTTATTGCATAGCAAAGATGTATAATTTTGTATAATTAAAATAAAATAAAAATCGGGAGTTACATTGGGCTTTAAAAACAAAAGATGAGTTAAGTTTATTATGATCCTTCCATTTCTTTGCCTGATACGATTTAATCCAGAACATCATGTTTAGTTAGTGTTTTTTTTTCATGTTATTGTTATTTTCATCTTTGAAAATAACAATACTAAAAATACTGTTTTTCAAAAGTTTGTCCCGGCGCCTCCACCATTTCTAAATGTATTAGTCATTTTGAAATTTTAATACGTAATAGAGTTATTCATTTGAGTCTAGAAATGTCTGAGAAAGTTGTAGGGAGAATAACAATAGGTAACAAAAATATGAGGTCTGCTTTATAAAATCCATAGGTGGATTATCCTGGCGCATCCACCATTTTAAATTAATTTTATTTTTTTGCTTAAATATTTTTAAATAAGATTACTACATGTTAAAAACGTCTCTGATAAAAGTAGATTAGAGGGAGTGACAAATAATGTATTCAGAAAAAAACAAGTGAGACTTGGCAGAAGTATTCCATATATACCGAGAGAGCAATAAAAAACATTATCAAAGGCAGTCATGGATTTTTAAAGATTTATCTTCAAAGAGTGTACAATAATTCTTCAAACATGCATGGCTGCCTTTGATCGTGTTTTTTACTGATCTCTTACATATCAGACTACATTAAAATTTTAGCAAAGTTAAGTATATTTTTTTTGACTTATTTTAAATACAATAATTGCCTTGTAGTTATTAAAAATTATAAATTATTAGGTACACACCTCGTTGCATTTCTAGATAGGTTTTTAGAAAATTTTTACGCTCCACTATTTCAGTGTACTGTTATTAAGATATGTACCTAATTTATTAAATTATCCTTTCTAAAATAAAAAATATTATGACTCTATACTTGTGGTTTATCAACGCACTCATAGTTTTTAGAGTTACTTATACAGGATGGCTCAAAAAAATTAATGGATGAGTCATTTTATTTTGTTTTATTGATTAAATCAGAAACTGTTGGTCCCCTTAAGAAAATGGATGACGTAATTTAAAAAATTAGTGGAAGGTTATTTCGCTGGAAAGTCCCTTCCTGAAGTTCAACCCAACAAATCCCGCTTTTTTGACAAAAATAATAAAAT